ACAAAATTATGTAGCACGTACTCAGCCTTAACAACACCTATTTCATTAGGTAAGGACAGATGGATGGCTCAGTGTAAAATGCACAAGTTACTCCAAAGCTACACTTCACTATGCATCTTGCACATGTTACTTGATAATTAAAGATGCTCCTTCCTGTGTCCAGGACATGTTTTGAACAGGGATGCGGTAGCTGTTCACTCAGACCGAAAGCTTCTTCATCCACGAACACCAGGAGACAGTGAATGTTCTGTGGTTCTTGGTAGTGCATAGTTTGCTGGCAGGTCAAGTTTACTGACTGCACTTCTGTTCATCCGTGACCTTCATCATTGAGTTCTCTCCGAACAATCCTCAAAGCAAAATCTGTCTTGTTGTCTGACAAAATAATGTAGCACATATACAGCCTTAACACCTTCTGTATTAGGCAGGGATAGATGGATGGCCAAGTGCAAAATGCTCCACCATACATCTTGCATGTGCTAATCCATAATTAAATATGCTTCTTTCTGTGTCTAGGACACTTTTAGAATAGGGAGGCAGGAGCCGTTCACTCCCAAAAGCTTCATCGCCCACAAACACCATGGGCAGTAAAGGTTTTTTTGGTTCCTGGTAGCGCATGGTTTGCTGGCAGGTCAAGGTTTCCAGTGCGAAGCAGTTGTCTAAAAGTAGAATGGGTCAATTCACAAAGCTCAGCGTTATGAGAGTAGAAGTTAATTTATCTATCCTTTTTTTACCACTCTTTATTTTACTGGCTGAAACATGCAATTCACAAAAGTTGGAATCGTGAATGCACATGCAGTTTAACGTTTCTTAAGCAAGTGTTATTTTAACATCACAGACTTTATTTTATCCATTACTGTGATAAAATAACGTTTTGGGTGTTATTTTAACACTTTTGCAGTGCATTTTGGTAGCAGAAGGGGTGGAGCAGATTCCTAAATGACTGTTACTTTCACATTCACCACACAAAAGGATTCCACATATAAGGAAGGAAAATATTCCATATTCGCCACATGCATACTAATTTAAATTTGGTAGAGAAAAAAATCATATAGAAATAACAATAACATTTTTTTCTGAAAGGAATGAATATATGAAACATTTATTTAGATCTACATCTGTTGACTATCAGACAGTGTAGGGAGGGCAAGCAATTCTCCTTACCAGCTATAAAGCTTGTCTTGATATTAAATATGTTGCATGGAACAATCCACTTGCTCTACAACCCCACTGAAGGGTGTCCAAGGACATTTGATTTTTCGTGTCATGTTGAGATTTGCCACTAACCTCTAACTGTTAACAAAATCATCTACATTTGTAGAAGGATAACAACTGTAGAAATGACAACTACATGCCGCCGCCGCCTTCTGTACGCAAAAGCATTAAGCCATGTGAAAATGAAGAAAAAAGGTTCCATTTCTATCTACCTCATGTCATCTCAGTGCAACAAGCATCAGATAACGACTGAAATCTGTCATAACGCCACCCTGAAGGAGGTGATATATCTACGTCTCAATAACGAGTGATAAAAGGACCTTTTCCTTTTGTGAATTGCATTTCAAGCATATTTTATCACTCCAGTTGTTCAAATAACGTCTGAATAGTTAAAATAACGTCTGAAAAGTTAATTTACTACTTCTTAAAAATAAGAAGTCAATTTTGCGAATTGACTACCTTTACACAGCAACTATATAACAAGCGATACCAATTAAATAACGGGCGAAATTAAGAAAATAAGCTTTGTGAATTGACCCCAATGTGCAACAAAAAAAAATAAAAAATATGAATCTGAGCTGCTACCTTATAATTCAACATTGATGTAGGCAAAGAAGTAGTTTTTACCTGCAACAACAAGTAACACAAGAAAATTTTTTTTTGGTAATGAACAAAATAATTTGCCATGACATTAATACCATATGAATATGCTTACCACCGGAAACTGGCATTACTCCCAAAACATTAAGCTTCGTTTGTCTAATCCTGGCTGGATGATTTCTCCTCGTCACCATGTCAGATAGCTCATAGTGCAGCACAGATGTGCAACACAATTGAGCAGGCTGTAGATTTTCTTATTAGAAATTGGTAGTGTAGACTGCCAAAAGAATGACTTGCCGCAAGGTACCTATATTAAAAAAATAAATGACATATTATATTTCACATTTGAATTCCTTAAGACAAGATGGAGGAGTATTAAGGGAAATTATACAAGATTCAGGAGCCAGCAAAGTGAGGGAAGCAGTGGATTTGGTGGGGGTTCAGTAGTTAAAGTAGCATTAAAGGCTGGACGTTTTTTTTACCTTAATGCATTCTGTGCATTAGGGTAAAAACGCCCAGTACCTTTGTCTCTCCCCTGTTCCCCCACACTTACCTGTTAGCGCTGCTTGCCACTGCCGCCGGTTCCGAAGCCATCCTCCGTTCTTCCTGGTTCTGGGGGAGGATACTGATGGCAGAGGAGCCATGGGTTCTTTCTGCCATCAATCACACTGTTGGGCGGAGCGGAGGGGCGTGGCCTGCTGCAGGGCTGTGTGTTTCTATGGCCACAGACAACCACTGAGGGCATGGGTGCCTCCATAGTAGCCGCATAGCTAATGTAGGCACCCGTACAGGGGGAGGGGCGGGAGAAAGAGCGCTGTGGGGGGAATAGAAAACGAGGAAGAGAAACATTTTTAAAAGAAGAACAGCAGCATTTTTATTTCTCCTAGTTGTGAAGATAAAAAACCCTCAACCTTTAATATTTACATACTTGGGAAGTTTAATTTTTAGATCCGGACATAGAAATGAGGAGAGGTGTTTCTCGAAAGAAAAACAACATTTCATATCAATTGGACTATCAACCATGGGCTAACCATGAGTGATTGTAAAAAATACTTTTCAAAAAATGTTTTCAGTTAATGCAGCTGGGAAGGACGTGAGGCAGAGGAGGAGACTGAGACCAGGACAAAAAGCAAATGAGCCCCCTTTCAGCAGCTCATCATTTATACAAGGGAAGAATAAATCTCAAGGGGCACCAAGTTCTTTTCAGAATTTATAAATGGGAAAAGAGGTGAAATTAACCTCCTTGGCGTTCTGATTTTTCCCAATATTCCTTCTTTTTTGTGTCTATTTTTTTTTAAATTTCCCGCTGGTTCCGCCACCCTGCGACGCGGCCGATCACAAGGGACGGAACCCGGAAGACGGATGCCGGCATCGGCCTGAGGACAAAGTGTGGCTCGTAGGGAGAAGGTAAGTGAAGCGCTGTGCAATCCCGAGTGTGGCTCGGGGTTACCACTTTTGGTACTGAAAAATTAACCCCGAGCCACACTCGGGAATACCGCCAAGAAGGTTAAGATTTTTTTATTTTTTTTTATGACTCAGACTTGCTTTGTGTCAGTGTGGTATTTGCGACAGGGACAGCCAACCAAATAGAATTTTTTAAGCAAGTCACCATTGACAACCTGTGTGCTTGTCTAACTTCATTAAGAGCACCCATGGCCAAATGTACATGAATGTAAAAAAACAGAAAAAGTAAGTAGGGTACTTACTTTAATGATAAGGCATTCACATAGTGGGATTGTTTTTCAAAAAGGGGTATAATGATGTTCCAGATGTGAATTCATAAAATTCAATACCTAATCAAAACTATGAAAAAGATCAATGTTATAGATAATGTTAAAGATATCTGAAGATAGAGATTGCAAAAGAATGAGGGGTGGGGGGCAGGAGAGAGGGGGAGAGCGACAGAAAGGGGGAGACAGAGTGCGGGAGATATTATATTCTTACCTTTGGATAGACATGTGGACACAATCAAAAAAATGGTCTTCGTGAGGTGTCTGTTCTTCCTCTTCTGTCACAATTACTGCAGCAGAATTTACAGTAACACTGAAGTCAATAAGGTCATACCTTGCAATATGAGCCCAAAAAACACACTTTAGCAAGCTTGTGAAGATAACACTGTAGTGGAAACGCGCCCTTCTGAACATACTTATATATATATATATATATCATTGGCCTAAGTAATCTAATGATTTGTTAACGCTTTGTATGAAAATACATCTAAAAACGAACGACAACGCGTGTATAAAACCACATAATGACGCATCAAAACTCCTAATAACGCGCATTAAAAACGCACACAAAATGGAGACGCATAGGAGTGAATGAGCCCTTAATGTCAGCATTCTTTTTTGAGATTTTTACTGAAGTTTTGGCATGTGCTTACCAGCAAGGCAATCTAGATCTTAAATCTTAAAGTGACACTAAACTCAGGAGTTATATCTTACAAAAGCATTCAAGTACCTTAATTATTAACAAAAATTGTATCTTATTTGTGTATCACTCAGCTGCAGATCCTCAAATCATCTCTGAATTGGTGCTCACACTGTCCTTCCTTCTGGAGGGTGGCTACTTTTGTTCCCCATGGTCTCTGTCCGTGTGGAAGCTCGCTCCCATGATAAGACTATAATTTAAATACAAATTAGTATGAGGTTATAGTCTATCACGGGAGCGAGCTTCCACACACACAGGGACCACGAGGAACAAAAGTAGCCACCCTCCAGAAGGAAGGACAATGTCGGCACCAATTCAGAGATGATTTGAGGATCTACAGCCGAGTGATACACAAATAAGATACATTTCTGTTAATAGTTAAGGCACTTGAATGCATTTTTAAGATTTAATTCCTAAATTTAGTGTCACTTTAACTTGCACAACCCATGCTTTCAAACAGAGATCTTATAAAGAATGTGAGGTGTACATTGATAAGACATATACAGTATATTAACAACATCAGAATTAGCAACATAAGTTGTATACAAACTGCCACTTACTGACAGTTAAAGGTTACATGTGCATCATTTTAAAAAAAGTTACAAAAGTTACTATTTTTTCCATTTACTTTCAAAGGATTATTACAACCACAATCCAAGATAACTGTTCTAGTTATATTCTGGGTTTTTATACCTTATATTTAACAAAGCTATGACATTGCAATACGGGGAAAGCTGAAGAAAGGAAAAACCTCTCACCTCCAAGATCGTGCTTCTGCACGGTACCCTCTCACGTTGTTGTCTCCCCCAATCAAGTAGACAAAGTTATTGAGCACTGCAATGCCTTGATTAGACATGCGTGGGGCTTGAGGGGCTGTTAGTGGTCTCCATTCCCCAATCAGAGGATTCAAATATTTGGCCTGATCACTGAGTACAGTATAAGGGGCAGAGAACATCCCTCCAAAGCCCACTATGCAGTTGAACTCGGAGCGCAGCTGTGTGTGTGGCCCCTGTAGCACTGGCTGCGTGATCTCATTCTTGTGATATTCCAGAGCTCTGGACAAAGTCACTTTGAGGGGACACGGCCCCAGCTTGTCATGTAGCCTCTGCAGGACTGGTAGCTCCATCAAGGGGAAGCGCACAGTTTCAAGTAGCTTTGGAGACTCCGTCAGGCTCACCTGATCCGTTTCCACCTGCTCTGAGGTGTAGTGGTAGAGTAAAGCTCCTTCATATACCTCATTTTCTGATCCCACCTGAAATACAGATTTGACATAAAATGTAGACGTACTTTTATGTCAGTTATATTTAAAGTAAATGTGTCACAAACCTAGGCAATTTACATTAGGAAAATGAGGAGTAAATGTATGTGGTTGTTACCATCTGCTCAGTTTGGGCTGTCCGGGTATGTGACGGTGCACTTTATTTCAGTGAAGTCACCACCCTCCTAAGGTTGCTTGGAACTGCCATTGCTCCAGATCTCTACTTACATTATTTGGAACCATCAATCAACCATTGTGATTACTTTTTTTTTTTTAAGTTGAACTGTAGGCAACCAGCTAAATATGCAGAAACAAAATACATAAACGGGAGCTGTTTTACATGGCAAAGGATTTGTGTTCCTGTCCCTCCAGTCCTGAAATTTACACAGCCTCCTTAAACAGCACAGCCAAGTGGATGACACCACTTACATATAGAGATTACAGTGGTGTTCTCTCTCTCGACCTCAGCCTTCCCACTGCACACTGAACGAACAGCAGCAGACTGATGAGGTCAGCCCTCCGTTCACTCTTCCTTTCAGCATGTTACTTGTCAACCCAATTGCATACAGCACACCTGACTGGCTCCCAGACATGCCCATTCCTCTCTTGCTCTTAATGTTGCTGTTTAGGGGATTGCAAGAGGTCAATACAAAGTCAAATTTGGGTACTTGCATTAAAAAAACTAAATTTAAAGTGAAGCAAAAAATAGAGAAAGTGGGGCTTTTAAGGTGTCACTCTAAGCATGCAGAACATATAATTCTTACGCATAGAACTCTTAGAAATTCATTTTTATTTTACTTCATAAATACCGATAAAAAAGGGCCAATGTATAAGCCCATTGGTTTCACATCCACATCAATTTCCTAAACATAATACAATCTGAAATCACCATAGGCATATAGCCTCCCTGGACCACACGGCCACATTCTAGGCATCAGCAGGTAGTCACCATTTATAATATTAATAAATAATTGTTGAGTTCATTGTATCATTGTATATTTGTCAAACATATGTCAAAATGTCTTGCATCGATGCACCGTGGGTCCAGACTTCGACGCGTTTCGCTAAAAAGCTTCCTCAGGAAGATAGGAGGCTGCCTGTAATATTTAAATATCATGGATGTAACCACATGTAACTATCCTAAGAGTTTAACAAAAACAATTACATCACATGGTGAACATGTAACAAACATCAAAGAATGCATAACCTTTTTGTCAGGGTCTTAAATTTAAAGCGACAACTCAGGAGTTAAATCTTAAATGCATTCATGTACCTTAACTATTAACAAAAATGTATCTTATTTGTGTATCACTCAGCTGCAGATCCTCAAATCATCTCTGCATTCATGCTGACATTGTCCCTCCAGAAGGATGGACAGTGTCAGCATGAATTCAGAGATGATTTGAGGTCAGAAATAAGATACATTTTTGGTAATAGGTAAAGCACTTTAATGTATTTTTAAGATTTAACTCCTGAGTTTAGTGTCACTTTAATGATTTATTATTGAACATAGGGCTGCATTCATTTGTATCTATTAAATCTGCCTGGATTTCAGCTTTAACTTGGTGCAGTGCTCTCACAAATTCCCAACATGCATCAAAAAAATTATATATATTAGATATATATCTTGCACTTTTCTGGCCACTGACTAATAGATATTTTGCTAATTAGGCAGCATTTGCCTGAAAGATTACTGGAACATGCTTGTTGCAGGCTGCCAAACCTCTGATCATACCTCCAATCTGTTGCTGCTGAGCAGAGCATACACTTTTTCCAGCGGAAGCTGTCTGTATATTTGAGTGCGTGAAAATGTAATAAAATTTTCCAGGACAAACGTATCCAACTGTTCACTAAGTTGGTCCAGGTGAAAAAGCTCGGCCAGCTTGTATACCTCCACCACATTTTCCTCATCCACCCAGGAAATGAGAAAGTCACAGCAGAAGGCAATAACTTCAGCAATCTAAAATAAAAATTCAGTTTATGAACATATAAAGCTGAACACAAAAAGGTGTGAGAAGCTGGATATTAATTGTTTAAACTCATCATTCACCTCTCTGAGTGAACATTAATGTTTGCAATATATACATGACAAATAATTAAAGGTTTTCCACTTTCTACCATCTCCAAGACATGAAAAAATACCAGGAACACAAATATAGATATATATATATAAAAAAAAATTCTACCTATATATATGAATAGGTTGTGCTCTGTCAACCACTGATATTTCTCAGGTGATAGAGATTGCAGAAAGCCTTTAAATACGAGTATTGGATGGCACTGTAATACATCCTGTAAATGAGAAACAGTGGAACTTTATATTCGTGGAGTATATATTTTTATATATAGACAAGATTTGGAATTTTGGATTTAGGATAAAAAGACGTGATCTAGGTTAGGATCTGTCCAAATAATTTTTTTGGTATATATACTGAATGAATAAAAATAGAGCAAATTCCTCCATCAACACTATGAGCACGTTAAGTGAGGAATCCCCGCTGTTTAAAAAAAAAAAAAAAAATACCCGAACAGAGGCGGCAGCTCATTGGCTAGTTGGTACGAAGCTGGTACAAAGATTTTCCAACCGACTCCTTTAATCGGCTGATAAAGGGATGCCGTTCCTCAACAACCTTTTAACATACATAGTTAATATCCTGTGTGTGATTCCTAGAGGCAAAGAAGGCAAAATCTGCTAATCCTCCTTTGGCGTTATATACACAGGTGCAGACGGCAGAAGTGCCTTGGACCTCGAACACTGGGCATCAAGGTTCTCACTGCAAGTGTCTGGAACACAAACGAAGCAATACATTTTGACTCCTTGTAAGGCATAGCTTAAAATGGCTGAACATTGGGGACGTCTAACATACATTTGGGACAATGGTTTCAGTTTCCTTAGATGGTAACTTGATTACCAATGTAAACAATCTCATCAGTATAAAGAAAACAAACAAAATGTTGGCCATATATGTTTATTGTGCATAAAGGCCGTGACACACTGCACGCGAAGCCGTGCAGAGCGAAGCAAAGCTATCCGGCACAGAGCTTTGCGTGCAGTGTGTGAGCTGAGTGCAGTCAGATGATTGACAGCACCTTCAGCCAATCGGCTCGTGCTTAACAACCGGCCAGACGTCGCATCCCGTCGCGCCGGTTTATACGCGCGAGCCGATTGGCTGAAGTTGAAATTGTTCATCTCGGCACGCTCAGCTCCGCCAGCTGAGGTGCCGAGAAGAAAGTGACATGACACACTGCTCGCAAAGGCAGCGCGCCACCGCTCCGCGCTGCTTTGCGTGCAGTGTGTCACAGCCTTTGCTCTTCCCATTCCTCAGTAAAAGTCTATTAGTCTTGTCAGGCTGACTGACACTAATTTACTCCACGTGGTTTGTCTTGTAATTCCTTTTTATCTCAGAACTTACTAAGCGGACAATTTAGCCAGAATTACATATACAAAACTATAGAAAAGTATACATGTGAAAATCTTATAAAAGTAACTTTTGGGGTAAGTATTACAATAATATTAAGAAAAAAAAACCTTACTGAAAGTATACTACTTTCCTTGCACTATACCAAAACCACCCAAATCCAATATAGCTGTAGAGTAGACACACTTAAAAGAGTGGGGGATGTGCCCATACTTACCTCCCCCACTCTCATCTAGGGACCAAACTGTCACCAATGCCACCACAATAAACTGTGTAGGGAAAGTCGATTTTTGTCCTTTACTACATTATGTGACAGCCCTCAGGCTCAGCTACTGGCTCCACTGTTGGATGGTGGGCTAGCATGTATGCGTTTCCAATAAACCAGAAGTAGTGGCTACAACTAGGACAAGAAATACCGGGGTTTATGAGAGATAAGACACCATGGCTTGAAGTTTGATAGAAAAAACAAAATATTTTTATTTCTACATATTTGTAAATAACATATGTGTTACAATCTACATACAAACAAAGATAAAGTAAAAATGGGGCAAACATACCCATCAGGTATGTATAAACAAAACCATTGAGAATCAGTACATTGTATATGTCCAATCCCTACGCGTTTCGAGACTTGGCTTCTTCAGGGGATTGTAACCTACCCTAGTAGAAGACAATACATTTGATCAAAATATATCCACGTTTACTAGGGTAGGTTACAATCCCCTGAAGAAGCCAAGTCTCGAAACGCGTAGGGATTGGACATATACAATGTACTGATTCTCAATGGTTTTGTTTATACATACCTGATGGGTATGTTTGCCCCATTTTTACTTTATCTTTGTTTGTATGTACATTGTAACACATATGTTATTTACAAATATGTAAAAATACATATATTTTGTTTTTTCTATCAAACTTCAAGCCATGGTGTCTTATCTCTCATAAACCCCGGTATTTCTTGTTCTAGTTGTAGCCAATTGTGTTGTAGGGGGAGAGATTACACCTGGGGGGCCATTGGGCCAACTACCTACGCTTGTCTTTGCTCAAACCAGAAGTAGTGGCAATTTCACCAGCCATGATAGGAGCAGTAGACAGGTGCTAAGAGTACAGGTTCGGCAGGTGCCTACCTTTACAGTTTAGTGGGTTTTGTTTTAGTATAGATGTGCATTAAGCTTAATAGACCTTTCATGTAATTGTATTCATTAGGCAAAGTATGTGTAAATGAAAAATCATTGTGATACAAAAAAACTCACAGTGCACTCTTTCTATTTTTAGGAGGTACCTGGAGTTGACAAGCAGCAGCCAGCGTCTCCTGTACATTGTGGACACCCAGCTCTAGCTCAGATGTGTATATAAAATCCAGGATCTTACACATTGCATTATACGTTATGCCATGGATCTGAACTTCATGCTGGTCCATTTCTCTCAAACCTCCTGCAAACATCCCCCTAATAAAAAAAACAAGCATAAAAAAAAGAATTTGGAGGAAAATATTAATGTCCCTATACAAGGTCAATGAGCTCCATATTTTAAAAATCAAGAACACAAAAACAAAAAAAGAACAAACGACACATATTCTGATGGAATTTAAATATTTAGGAATCGGAATTTGAGTGTTCTCATGAGATCAAATAGACACAAACAATACCTAGCAAAGTGTACCAGGCCTGCAACTAATGGTTATTTGTAGTTTTTCCCCCGCTTTTATCCTTTTTTTAACCACTCAGTATTCAGCGATGCGGTACTTTGATTGACATTTATTCCTTCATGCAGCGCTGTACTGAAATTAATTTTATACCATTTTTTGGGGACAGATAGAGCTTTCTTTTGGTGGTATTTAATCACCACTATGGGTTTTGATTTTGTACTATATTAAGGAAAAATTACTGAAAAGTTTGAAGAAAAAAAAAAACTCCCCCCCCCCATTATGTTATAAAACATTTATTACCCAATTTTTTGGTAAAATATAAAAGACCGGGTCACGTCGGGTAAATAGACACCAAACATGTCAAGCTTTAAAATTGCGCACACCCGTGAAAATTGCAAAAAACTACAATACCCAGAATTGAGTATAGGCGACACTTTAAAAGCTTTTACCGCTCATCAGTTTAATGTCGTCAGTGATTGATGGCCCCAGAATTATTGCTCTCACTACGACATTCAAGGCGAAATGTAACATGTGTGCCGTAATCATCGTTTTCACACCCGACGCATGTTTGCATGCGTGTATGTATGGGTGGCGACTTTAAAAAATAGTTTTTTTAATTCTTTTTCATGTGTGACTTTAAAATATTTTTTTGCAACTTTCATTTTTTTTCCCACTTAACTTTATTGTTATCACATAGGGGGCTAAGAAGATCTGCTTCATCAGCTTCTCTCCAGCTTCTGAAGCTGGAGAATGACAGCAGTATATTACATCACTTCCGCATTCTGACAACGGAGAGGTGACCGGAGGGAGATCGTGTACCGATCTCCCTCTGATCCCCTGTCACAGAGCCACCATGCTGGTCCCGGGCTCGCACAGGAGCCCGGGACTAGCGGGAGGTAGGGGCTGCGCACACACCGGCACCTTATAAAAGCGATTGAGCCGGCGGATCGCTTGTATGTAAACAGGCATCGCTGCCTGTTTTTACATTTGGGCAGGTTCCGGCGCAAGTGGGTGTGGCTGACAGGACGTTTAAATACGCCCACTCAGATCCAGGAAGCTCTCGGCCGGCCTCTTCTTTTAAGACAAGGGCCGGCCGGGAGGCGGTTAAAAAACAACTTTTTAATAATTGTATTGTAAGCACATGGTGCTTGAATAGCTTCAGCCAGGGAATGACAGCTGCCAGTGGCAAGATTCCACAGATGGCAGCTGACTGTAAATACTGCAGGTAGTGGGCTGGTGCAATAGCCAGCCTGCTATTGGCCATTTCAAATTGCAATAGCCAATAGCAGGCTGGCTATTGCACCCGCCCACTACTTGCTGTACCCTCCTCCCAGGGTGGAGGAAAGAGCTAGGGGATCCAACCAACTAATTGATAATGAGAATAGTTGACAACTATTCTTATAATCATCGATTACTTGTTTGCAGCCCTAAAGTGTACCTTATATTTCCTCCCTAAAGGATTTAACAATGCTCCAGAGGGAATTCAAAGTTTTCAGTCATTTTTATACTACAACACTGATTGGCGCATCTCCAAAACGTTATCATGTACTTGTTTTGAGAGCTAATTAGTCATTATGATGCTGGTTGTTTGGCTATGTGTTCGAGGTGATTGCATCACACAAATTAACTCCATTGAAGTAATAATAGGACGTCTGAAGGCAACTGGTTGCACCAATTCAGTAAAAGTGAGTTAATACACGTGCAAAAATTGCGTCACACATGTTACATATCATCAATCACTGTTAACACTAAATTGAGGAGCCGTAAAAACGTTTAAAGTGTCGCCTTTGGGAAATTTTGGTTATTGTAGTTTCTTGCGGTTTCACGGATGCACGCAATTTTAAGACTTGACATGTTTGGTATCTATTTAACCGGCGTGACCCCGTCTTTTATATTTTACCAAAAATTGGTTATTAGATTCTGTTTCTGTGCACTAAATTTCATTTTAGTGTATGTTATCCTAAAAATACTTGTTTGATTGCAACTATCACTATTCTACAGGGCCTCTGCTTTCAGAAAATAGAATTGTTTGGGGGTCTGAAGCAGTTTTCTAGCCAAAAATTCAGATTTCATCATGTGTGCGCAAATGTAAGAAATTGCTTTGGGCAGCAAGTGGTTAAAATCAAATGGGCATGGTGGTGGGGAGGTTTCAGGCAAGGTGGTGAGAAGGCCATGTTTCATTGCAAGACAAACTGCCCACTGCAGGAACTGCTCTGCATATGCATCACACTGAGTATGGCTGCTGAACGATGCTGGTCTACATTTAGGTGTTGATGCAACCACACATGCATGCATGCTAGTATATTTGGAAGATGACAAAATGGTGCAGATACCTGGCGCATTTGGGGTAGTGACACAGTGTTAAAAAGGCTACACCACCCCTAAGGCCTCATTCACACAGCTGTCGGCCCGTACCGATCTGTGCGTTCACCCAAGCTGCACATCCGTGCGGGTGTCCGTACTCGTACGCAGACAAGATGGATCCTGTCTGCATCGGAGCACGGACACCCGCACCCCTACGGATGTGCAGCTCGGGTGAGCGTACGGCCACGTACTCCCATAGAGAAGTACAGGCTGCTGCGTACAATCACATGCAGCACCTGTCCTTCCCGGGAACGGCCCGATATGGCCGTGCACACCACACAGATCTGTATAGGCTGACAGCTACTGTGTGAATGAGGCCTAAGGCAGACCCGGCATTTAGTGACAGTGCTGCCGATACTGGCAATCACATACCAGCACAGGAAGTTTCTCTTCACTAAAAACTAATTTGTGGCTTGTACATGTCACGTGATCTATTGAAGAGAGATAAAAATAGGTTATTAGTGACTTCCTATGCCGGGAGCTGATTGCTAGTATGTGCAGAGATCACTGCAGGTTAGAGAAGATCAGCAGCACTGTCACTAAATGCAGGCTCCGGGGACCTGCTGCCTGCACAGTGGAACTTCCAAATACAAAGAATCAATTCTGCTAAATCCTCATAGTCCCCACATTTCAGTGCAGATGAAATTAAGGCCCACTTCACACTGTTTTATTGTGGTGTTACTTCACAGCTATGCTCTATGGTCAGGCAGTAAGGCCTCCAGCCTCTGGAGGGTAGTTTGCACATTGTCATTCTTGCCAGGGGAGGGTGCACACTTCTGGGCTGAAAGAAGAGGGAAGCCAAACACTGAGATGGTATTATAAACCTGCCCAATGCCTCCACTACTACAGAATCCTTCCAAAGCGGCAGCCATCATACACAGTCATGTGGAAAATTAAGTACACCCCATGGAAAGTGTCGCTTTTTCCCCCCAAGATATTTGAAAAGGCAAACATTAGATTGTTATTTAAACAGTGCGTATAGATAAAGCTGCTATAAGAGCTCAAGAAAATAAATAGTTATCAATCTTTTAATCAACAAAAATATAATTCAATGTAATGGGGTACTGTGGGAAATGTAAGTACACCCTTGGTATGAAACACTGCCATTTCCCCCTATAGCTGAAATGATTTTGTAGGCATTTTGGAATATTGCCCACCAGTTTCCGACATCGACTTTTGACCGCTTCTCAATGCAAAATTCCTTTAGTTGCAAGGTGTTTGTTGGTTTTCTTGCATCTACTGTCGGGTTTCAATGGGAATCAACATCAATGGGAATCAAACCAGGGCTTTGACTAGGGCAGTCCATAACCCTCGATTTCTCCTTTCGGAGCCATTCCTTGATGGATTTGCTAGTGTTTTTCACATCATTATCATGTTGAAAGACTCCTTTTCACTTAAATTTCAACTTTTAGACAGATGGCCTCACATTCTTATCGAGCATGCTTTGATATGATGCAGAATGTATAGCTGACTTGATGACTGTGACGCATTGCTACCACCATGCTTCACAGGTATTCTTCCACCTGTATTCTTCTTTTATAACAAGTAGAGCATTGCAAAGTTGAAATGGGTTACACAGTTAGAACTTTCGAAAAAACTTGTTTTTGAAACGATCATTCGATTTTCTAGTTTCTAATAGTTATGGGGTCAAATCGACAATTGAATTTGACTGTTGTGATGAAAAAAATAAAAATAACATAAGGGAGCAGGATGGAAAACTAAATTCAATTCTAATTGAATGAATGTGGTTTTCGTTCGGGGAAACTCCATTCATTTTAAAATAGAATGTTAAAATCAAATGAAATGTTGAATGACAATCAGCGTATACCCAACTTTACAGACGAGTGGGGGAATTTATCAAAACTGGAGCAGACAGAATCTAGAGCAGCTGCCTATGGCAACAAATCAGCTTCTCTCTTCAGTTTGTCAGTTAAGCTTTGAAAATGAAAGAGAGAAGCTGATTGGTTGCCATGGGCAACTGCTCCAGATTCTGTCTGCTCCAGTTTTGATACATTACCCCCTATGTGTCAGTTTCTTCTCTTCCTAGCTGTCCCTTCCCCAGTCACTATGGCAGATGTGAATGACAGCTGAAAAACCGCTCCCAGAAACGGTCTCAGCAATTGTAAACTACTGCACACAGATTCAGGCAAAGTATAATGGCACTGATCCTGTGTTCAGAGAACGGCTCTTGATCATAGCCTCAGTAAATATAAACAAACAAAGCTGAGACTTTGATCAGAAGTCATTTTACTTAGTCTCAGCTCTATTTGTTTATGTGACCAGGATCAGTTCTCTGAACATAGGCTCAGCTGCCATTTAACTTTGTCTGAGGCTGTGTGCTGGAGAGCATCTCCCAATCACAGTCAAAGCTCTGTGTGTGTAATTGTGGAGTATGATCAGAAGCAGTTCTCCTGCATGTCGAATTCTTCCCATTGGTAACTCTGCAATACAGTAATACAATCGTTGCCCATAGGGGCAATATCAGTTACTAGGGAATGCTCCCATACCAGTATCAGTGCCGATCCCGATGCCTTTCCCTATACCGGAACTTCAGGTATCAGGGAGTCGGGCGGTTAGTCCTCACACGGTGCTCGGCTTCCTGATTGACTGGGAAGCCGACTCCATGTTGCCCGGTCACCAGAGGGCATGGAGCAGGTTTCCCAGCCAATCAAGAATCCAGGGGGTGGGTAACGACTCGCCCCCCGGCTTCCTGATTGGCCGGGAAGCCGGCTCTATGCTCCCTCATCACTTGGTGACGAGGGTGCATGGAGCTGGCTTCCCGGCCAATCAGGAAGCCAAACGGCATGTAATGACTCGCCACCCGGCTTCCTGATTGGTCAGGAAGCTGGTCAATCAGGAAGCCAGGCGGCTAGTCATTACCCGCCCCCCAGCTTCCTGATTGGCCAGAAAGCTGGCTCCATGCCGGGAGGGAGCATGGAGACGGCTTCCCGGGAAGCTGGGAGGAGAGTCATTACACGCCGCCTGGCTTCCTTAATGGGACTTCAATATAGGCGAATACAGAAAAATTAAATAAATAAATAAAAAAAATCGGTACTTGCACTCGATACCGAAAAACTGGTATCTGTGCATCCCTATTAGTTACAAATAAAGCACTATTATCATATAAAAGCATAGTGCTTGTTCTGGTGATAAGTTATGCTTTAAAGCGACCCTAAGCCATTTAAAAAAATGCTAACAGGTAGCTTTTAATGGCAAAAGAGATTGTGTATGTCTCTTACGTCATATAGTAGATATAAAAAGTTTACACAGCCCTCTTAAATGGCAGGTTTTTAGGACAAAAAAAAATTAAACATAAATCACTTCTGAATTTTTTCCACGTTTAATGTGACTTATAATCTGTGAAATTCAATTAAAAACAAAGTGAAATATTCAAAGGGGGGAAAAAACCCAACAACACTGCGCATCACCAAAAGAACACCATTCCCACAGTGGTGGGTAGCATTATACTTAAGGGTTGTTTTTCTTCAGCTGGAACTGGGGCTTTAGTCAACGTAGAGCAGGGGCGCCCACAATTTTTCGTTCGGAGATCTACTTTTCAAATGACAAGCTCAATGAGATCTACCAACGAAAAAACACCTGCATTCAGGGGGGAGGGACAGAGCATGGCGGTGCATTGAAGTCAATGAAGCAGTGCGATCGCCTGCACCCGGAACGCAGGCACATTAGTGCCTGCCTTCCGGTCCAGTGCGATCTGCAAAAATGCTGCAAACACTATTTTTGCAGATTGCACTGGACCGGAATGCAGGCAGGCGATCGCACTGTGGACAGGGGGGCATGGCTGCAGTGCCATGGACTTCAAAACAACACCACGCCCCTGAACGATGGGAGTCGGCCGGCTTGCATTCCAGTGCGTTCTAGAGGCGCCGGCGTCTTGTCCTCACATGGTGCTTGTGTGGCCAACGTTGCACACGGGGAGAGGTGTCCTGCACAGAGGATTGGTGCATATCACTGATATGTACCGATCCTCTGCCGTTCGGCAACGCACACAGGGGGCTCAGCTTCTCCTTCTTCTCAGACGGAGCCGCTGTCACAGCAGCATGTGCGGTGAGGAGAGAGAGAGGGCCGCCGGCTGTCAGATCCAGGCCGAGCGGCTCTCTCTCCTCACCGATCGGCGTGCTTCTGTGATAGCGGCTCCGTCCTGGCGACTGCAGCCCCTGCCAGTGTGCCCTTCGTTCCCTGGTATCTCACCTGAATGCTGGGCAATGTGCGGCTCCGCCAGGACTGCTCAACTCGTTTCCCTGTCAATAACACGCTTGTTTCAGCCCTAGACCTGACCTATGGATGTTTTCAGATCATATGCCACAGAGCACTGTAGGACCTGTTGTTTCCAACTGACAAGTATGTTCTTTTATATTGTATAACCCCCCACCACCACCACCCGAATGAGCCTTCATGGCACCTCAGTATTTTTCTATAGCAGCCCTTAAAGTGACATTAAGGCCCCGTTCACATATAGCGAATTGTCGCTATACATTATTATGCCCACATTATTATGGACTGCATGGCTACATTAACTTGCAGCTATGCAAAGGGATTGTTTCCATAACGGCATTATTTCTTATGTAGCATTAGCTTCTCATCAATAATAAAAGGATAAATAGTGACAAGTACCTGAAATAATCACAAGATGCGGCCAGAAGGATTCTATGAGCTTCCACACATTTTCCTTCCAACTTGAGGACCACGTCAAACAATATGCCTGCATCACGGAGGCCTACTAGACCACTAAGTAAAACCTCTGAGTGCTTGACACTTGTATATATTTTGCAGGTGTTTTGTGCAGGCGATTGATCCTTGGATATATGGTTTGACTTCAAAACCTCATGGTCTTCTGCCATCTTTGAAAAAAAGTTCTGATCCGAAATAGGACAACTCAACCAGTAAAACATCCATACGAAAAAGAAAAATCGCCCACAATCGATCGATCCCTGGTGTTCCTGTGGATTTCAGAAAACTATTGTTATTATAAAATTCACCAAAACAGGAGCGAATACACAGCCCAAACAAATCAAGTTCCAAATGGCATTTTTCTAGTGCAGGTTAGAAAATGAAAGCAGAGAATACAGGCAGTCCCCAGGTTATGAACAAGATAGGGACTGTAGGTTTGTTTTCAAAAGGAGAACTATGAGGCGAGTGCTTTTCACTCACCTCATAGTTCTAGCCGACGTCTTAGTATACCTGAGCCTAGGGTGACGGGAGGACGCTAGTTTGTATCCTCCTGTTACCCTTAGGAGAACTATGGGGAAAAGCCTTAACCCCATAGTTCTCCTTTAAGTTGAATTTGTATGCAAGTTGGAACAGGTACATTTTTTTAAGTGTAACTCCAGCCCAAATGTTAAAAAATTTTGGGTTGTCGTGGAAACAGATTGGTGATAAAGCTTCAGTGGAGACACCATTTTCCCATGATCACTCTTACAGTAGTGATTTTCCCTTCCTAGCTGTAGATTCCCTTTCACTTTCTGTTGTCTCAAGGACAGGAAATGAGATTAAATCTTTCTAATGAGGATACAGACAGCAGTATAAACCTCACAGTGACCCAGAAGAAGAGGCGGGCACCCCTCATCTGCACGTCTAACAGGAGCCAACTTCATGTAATATATGTACAGTACTACAAACCAGACCCAAAAAGGCGGGCACTCCTCGTCACCACGAGCGTGGTAGCATTACAACTACCCCAGCTGTACAGTAATAGCCTCCGTTTGTAAGTAGGAGTCGGATGTATGTAGCCCGGAGACTGCCTGTAATAACTTTTCATGTTTGGATGGGTGCATTCATAAAGTTTTTGCAGTGCTGCTGCTTCTGCAAAAATCTAACGTTTACATTTGCACAACATTATGGTCACAAGATGGAGCCAAGGAGCATGTTTTTTTTTTTATTTCGCTGTTCCGAGTCAGGGAAATTCAATGAAAGGGGAAATTCCCTCTTAGATGTTGGCAAAACAGATGCCCCCACACAAAGACTTCCCTCACTTCTTGTTCTGATGACAACTATAAAATGGGGGATTTCCTGTCACCTTCTGACCTGGTGAAAATGCCAAGCAGAACAAACAGAAAGGGTTAGAGGCAGGGGTAGATTTCAGTGTTGGGCCTCATTCACATGACTAACAGCCGGCCCGTACAGATCCGTGCGGCGTGCATGGCTGTATCGGGCCGCTCCCGGGAAGGACAGGTGCTGCGTGTGATTTGTACGCAGCAGCCTGTTCTTCTCTATGGGAGTATGCGGCCGTACGCTCACCCGCCCTGCACGTCCGTGCGGGTGTCCGTACTCATACGCAGACAGGATCCCTGAGTCCAAGCACCAACACCCGCACGGACATACAGTTCGGGTAACCGTACGGTCGTGTACTCCCATAGAGAAGAGCAGGCTGCTGCGTACAAATCACACAGCACCTGTCCTTCCCAGGAGCGGCCGGATACAGCCCTGCACGCAGCATGGGTCTGTATGGGCTGGCTGTTAGTCGTGTGAATGAGGCCTTAGGGGGGGTACTGTAGAGTGCATTGGGCTGCCTTTGCAATACAGTACCTCACAAAAGGAGCATTAACACATGTACTGCCACAACACACAAGTGTGAATGGGCTCTTAGGGACCGTTTGTAACACTTAAGTGAGCTGCAAATTTGCATGCTTTTGGCACTGAAAAATCTGTATGAACAATTAACTGTGCTAGGCACTAAGATACTTCTTGGGAATTCTGCTATGCACAGCATTGGAATGTTCCACTTTAGAAACAAATCCATAATAAAAAAAAAGGCAAAAATACCAAATTTTCTTTTCCAGCAGAAAAATTCCACCCTAATAAAATTCTAGAAACATTCTCTCATAGCTTTATTATACAACCTCAGTAAAAGAATGAGGGAGATTTCAGAACTGTAAGTCTGTACAGTGCGAGTACAGACTCTTAGGCAACCAACATTTACCAGACAAAATCCTCATGAGTCATGTGATGGCTCTACTTTCAGTTTTGCACGTACACAACTACGTTTGTGAAATCAAATATTCACTGGTCTACCCTAAATACTCTAATGTTAAAACATCACACCACAAATACCATAAAACACCCAGAATATCCGCATTGATGCAGACCCTGTGATTAAAACTGGTTTATTGTGAAAAAGAAACAAAAAGGAGCTACTAAAAATGAAAGCAAAAGGCTGTGTAAAAAAACTGCACCACACCCAAAAGAAGTGCGGGTAGGGCATCAAAAAAATAAACAACAAGAGCCAACATTTAGGTTAGGTTCACACCTAGGCGACTCCTGACCGCGCGGCAGTCGTGCACAAAACCGGCTGCGGTGGGTCACAGAGTCACCCACCGCAGCCGACCGCACTGTGGGTGCCATTATTTTCTAATAAGTAAAAAAAAGTCGCACCTCCCGTGTCGCAAAAAAAAAGAAAAAGGAACTTGTACATTTTTTTTTTTGCGATTGCCACCCCACTGAAATCAATGGGGCCGTGCGGCAACCGCTGTGTGTGCTACCCTTAGGCTAGGTTCACACCAAGGCGATTGAGTTGGGGAGCTGTTTTTGAGCAGTTGTCGCGCATTTTTGTTTGCGCAATTTTTGCTTTGGAAACCATGCGGTTTTCAATGCATAGAGACCCAAACTGGGCAACAACTAGGGATGCACCGATACTTGGCATTTTCATGACCACTATCAGGGTTGCAGCTGGGACCTGCCTCTGGTGCTCCACCACTGTCCTGAAATCATAAGTCTGTATTGTTTTAGAAAAACTATCACATGACAATAAACACAAATGTATCAGTACTCGTACTTGTAAGTACTTGGGCAAGTATCAGTACTTGTACTCACAAAACTGGTTTCAGTGCATCCCTTTATATATGTTTATAAAAACAAAATCATACATTAAAAACAGAAATGTACAAGCCCAAATAGGACAATTAACCAAATCCCACGCTGAATATGAAATTCCCCCGCTGGGTAAAGCTTGAGGACTCCTTTCACCCAAATACTTCAGTAGCCAACCTTCTCTGGCTTCAGCCTAAGCTGAGACCCACATCAATAAACCCCATCACTTCCTTCTCACTGCACATTTGGGACTCCCTTAACAAACAAAAGGCCCTCACTTCCCCCCACATACCACTACTATCTTTCTTGAGGAACCCCAACTTTTCATCCGGCTTCCTCTAGCCCCTCTAGCTTAAAATATGGACAGATAAGGGACTCACGCATCTCGGAAAATGTCAGACCCAATCGGGCAAGAAGCCTTTCCCGTACCTACAAGAACACTATGATCTACCGGCTAACGAACTGTTTCGCTACCTCCAAATTAAGAACTTCATACATGCCCAAACAAAACACCTGCCCCCACCTGGCCCTCCCAGCCCTTTTGAACGAATCTGTAGAGATAACCCTCATGCTCCTGGAATCATATCCACACTTTACACGTATATGTTAGCACCCCCCGAACATCCTGCCCCTTCCTACACGGCCCAATGGGAACGTGACCTGGGGTCTACTCTGGAAGACGACATATGGCAACAATCCTGGCTCAACACGAAATCTAGCTCACGCTGTACCAGTATGTTGGAGATCAATTATAAAGTACTACTACGCTGGTACAATGTGCCAGCGAGGGTGGCCAAATTCCGACCCCAAACTTCTCCGCTTTGTTTCCGAGGTTGCCTATGCCAGGGCACCTTCTTCCACATATGGTGGCAGTGCCCAAAAGTTGCTAAGTATTGGGACCGGGTATTTACCATACTTTCGTCCTTATTTCAGCGGCCATTGAGTAAAGATCCCACATTTACACATGATAGGAGATCCGGGTAACAACCTAGTAGCCCTTAACCTTTTCCCACTCGCAGCCTGACACTACCCAACCTTTTCTTCCCCCCCCCCTCTTCTTCCCCACCTCTCCCTGCCCCCCTATGTAGTTTTCCATACAAACCATCATTTGTACTTCTGACATACTGTGTGTCGGTCCCTGGAATATGCACTCTTCGTGTCACCCCCATGTACTACAGCCTCTTTACTACTTTCGTGTATTTATTTGCCATCAGGATACCCAGGCTGTATTCCATGACGGTAAACTATAATCTAACCGCCTGACATACCTCCCAACTTATTAGAGTACATGCCTATTTACACTTACCCCCCCTGCATGTAAACCCCCTGGGGTTGTTAAATTTGCATTCCAGGTTCCGACCCATACCGAAAATATTGTGCTGTATCTTGAAGTACTACGACTGTATGTTACAATGATTTGTAATTTTATTGCCTTTTACCACAAATAAAAGGAGGTTGGGCGTCCTCCTGACAAACCTGCACCCAATTTGATATCTTCTGCCCCCATGTGCTCCAAGATGGAGACTCTCATAGTTTAGAGTTAGGACCGCACTATAAGAGGTGCCTTGGCGCGGCAGTGCGGCTTTCACATCCTCTGCAGAAGACGTGTATCCAAACCTCTGTCATTATCCTTAGTGGTGAGACAAGTTGTTTTACATGCTGGTTTGTGAGTGTGCCATAATGCCTTTCTGCTGTTTTACCACAAATAAACATTTATATGAAAAAACAAAAAAAAACAGAAATGTACAAATCCCAGGAGCCCCGTATGCTCCTTACAAATGACAGCTGCCTCCTAACTTTAAAATTTTTCTCTAGTCTAGTCTTGGAGGTGGAAAAGTATCTGTACTTGTACCGAGTACTTACTTGGTATCGGTGCATCACTAGTGACAACCATCTGAAAATAGCTCCTGCACCTTTTTGCGTGACAGGCAATTTCTACCGCGCGACAAATCGGAAAGGTGTGAACAGCTTTCATAGACTTGAATGCAAATCTCTGTTTTGTGCAATATAAATCACATAGGCGTGAACGTAGTCTAATAGCTGTTAAAACTAATAACAAATGTTACCATAAACTAAAATATACTATACAATGGAAACCAGGTGTGTGGATTAGTATACTTTGTTATCAGAGCAAACATTATCAGGGTTCTTCACAAAAAAAAGGGTGAAGGGTTTGGAGAAGACAGGAGAAGTGAACAATCTAGGACAACATAGCTGATTTAGAAAAATTCTCCAATTCAGCTCCTTTTCCAGTTCAGCTATGTTGCAAACATTATCAGGGTTCTTCACAAAAAAAAGGGTGAAGGGTTTGGAGAAGACAGGAGAAGTGAACAATCTAGGACAACATAGCTGATTTAGAAAAATTCTCCAATTCAGCTCCTTTTCCAGTTCAGCTATGTTGTCCTAGATTGTTCACTTCTCCTGTCTTCTCCAAACGCTTGCTTCAAAAATAAATTATATCTACAATACATTTCAAAAAAAGTAGATTAAGGGCCAATTCAGCCCGGATCTGTTGCGATATGATTTTTCAAAAGATGCTAACATAAGGGCACGGAAAAATGAATGGAAGTGAATAGGGCTAGTTCACACTGCTCTGTTAAAAAAAAAGAAAAAAAAATAGAACATGCATTACTTTTTTTCAGCATAACATAATACAACAGTTCCGGCGTGAACTAGCCCTATTCACACCCTTTAATTTCTTTTTTGGTGCCCTTCCGTTAGCATCCATTGAAAAATGGATCGCGAGGCAATGGATCAGAAGGAGATCAAAAGGTACAATCACAAATCAATGGACCCTCTGTTGACTTGCGTTTTTTTCCCCATTTTTGTGTGAATGGGCCCTGAATTCCTACCTCTCTGGCAGGTGGCTGGTCCTCACTTTTTTCTCTTCAAGACCTGCAGCCTCCAAGCAGAATCTTCACCTCCAATACTTTGGATGTGTTGGACGCCTGGTCACGCTCTGTAATTGGTGTTCCATCAGTGATAGTAGGGGGGGGGGGCAGCAGGTATTTGACATACCAAATAGCAAGTCACATCTAAAAGATTCTACTGCAGACTGCAGCACCTGAAGAGAGCGACATGAGAACTATCTTTGCCCACCAAAAGGAGTATGCATTAGTTGTTTCCTTGTTTTTGCTTTTTTGTTTACAAACAACTGAGTCTCAAAAGCCCTCTCTTTCTGGTAGCAGATTGGGTTGTGACTGTCTGCTATGGATTACAAATCATTCCTGGATAGAAGATGTCACCAGCACACTGAGCACATAATGACAGTGACCCCCCACATAACACAGTTTAGGAAGAGAATCAAATGTTGTCATTGCCATAGGAATACGGCCACATGACCCGCACAGTACTGTCTACCTGAGCTGTCGCCTATCACGTGACTCACGCCTCCTATTGACCGGTGACGATACCTGCTGTAGTCCTGGTGCCCCCCAGCACCTGAACTGGAACGTCACTTCCGTAAACACGGCGACAACCAGAAGGGATGAAGCGGAACACAGACAGGCCTGCCAGCACTGCTTACCTAGCAGTTTGTACTACACAGGTTGGAGTCCCTGTACCTGGAAGAGTCAGCTGCTGTTTAGTCTTTGGAATCTGACTCTGTAGCAGGCGCTTCCAATGCACAGCTATCCACCAATCAACGGGAAGGGGGTGTGTCCTCTGCCGGGGAGCTTGGGAAGGTCGCAGCGTGTATTGCGTCACTTCCGGCCGGGTTGCGGTGCTCTTGTGCGGGAACTATAGAGGCTTGCCAGCTACAATGGACGTGAACGGGCCGGACAGTGACTGGCGGAGTGCAGGATTCAGGCAGAAGCTAGTCAGTCAGATGTAAGTGATGGCGACACTCCTGTGTATACAGGCTGCTTTCTGAGCGAATGTGCTGTACTCCAATACGGAACAGGCCGTGCCTGGAGCACCAATGCCTTGTAGAAGGAAGTGATATAATTCTATGGCCGCATTCTTGGTTTTCTTTTCTAAATGACCCGCCATGGGTACAGTAGCTTTGATGCCTAGGATGGGCTGTGTGTTTCCAGTAATAAAGTATTTATCACAATGTAAATCAGTGCTCACCCTAATGTAGAACTAAAGACAAAACATTGTTATAGTATTAGAGTAAGGGAGCCTTATAACCCTGTCAGCTTTTTCTTTTGTCCTGTGTCCCCTTGGGAAGATTTTCCTTCACTTCCTAACAGCCACAACAGGAAGTGAGATTAAATCCCTCTGATTTAGAGGGAAATCCCTGGGGGTCAGCAAAGTCACCAAAACTGGTGTCCCCTTTGGAAGATTTACCCTCTATTCTGGTGACAACCCAAAATTTGAGACAGTCTTTCACTTTTGACAAGTTAAGGTTGAATCTTCCCTAATGGGGACACACGCAGTAAAACCTAAAAAATAAAATAAAAAAAGTTTCGGCTTCAGTTGCACTTTAAAGGAGAATGATCATTTTGTGTGAAAACCATGCAGAACGTCATTATGGGTTCATGTACACAGACGCAAATACAATTGTATAGGCTTTTATGTGCAACGCCCGGAAGCCCCAGTTGCTGTGTATTTCAGCCGATATGATTGTATGAACAGAAAACGCTGTATGAGGGCACACGTATCGGCGCTTACAAATGCACCGCCGCAAGTTCCCCAACATTAAACTCCCGCTTTCGGGAACTTACGGCCATGCGCATGTAAAGTCCCGGCGTTTACATGCGCATGGCTGCGTACAGTGTTTTCTGTCCATGCAATCCCTGTAAGGGTAGCTGCACTTCCAGGTCTCTCTGATGTCCCTATAAAGTCCCTCAATAATCAGTTTAGTGTACCAGTAAAGTCACCTAATTGTAAGGGGGACAACGCTGCTGCACTGCTCCTGAATTGAGAGCAGAGTTGTCACTTTTTACGTTGGCCGTGTCTGCTTACACTACAGTGGAGGAGAAGGTGATGAACTGGATGTGGTTATCATTATCACTGCAGGTTCACTAGCCCTAAGGCTTGTCAATCAGCTGCTGGCCACACCCAGTCCTGCCCACTGCTTTCTGTATTGACAGCACTGTCTTTGCTGCTGAACCCCCCTCCGACCCCCCCCCTCCCCCTGTGATCTGCAGTGTGTGAGACGCATCAAGAAGGATTTTGCTCGGTCAGGGAAGGTGAAGGAAGATTTTGTTTACTTTTTGAAGCTTGTAGATCACCTATTCGATTTGCTACTTGTTTAGATTATGATATATCTTTAACCCCTTCATGACTGAGCTTGCTTTCAGTTTCTGTTCATAAATGACTGACACACTTTTTAAATTTTTTTTAACGTTCTTCCACGGCAGTAATATTTCTTACTAAATGAACCTACACGTATTATATATTGTTTTTTAGAGGACAGATAGGACTACATAATTATATCAAACATGTGTACCTAACGCCTCACTTAGTTCGATTAAAAAATGAGCCAAAAGCGTAAACAAAAAATGTTTTTCACAAGTTTTGATTATTATTATTTTTTTTAGAAATGTTTTATAATTATAGTATGAAAAAATATATTTATATATCATTTTTATTTTCTTAATTTTTTTACACTTTATTTTTTTTGTCAGTTTAGACTGCTTGATACAGTAACTTTTTACATTTTTGACTATTAGGCTGCTCCAAACTTAGGTACAGCTAATAATAACCTTAGAGACTGATCCTGACAGCATGTCAGAATCAGATCTCACTAAGTCCCCATTCACACTGAGCGACATGGATAATCGCAAGTTTTCCGGCGCGATTGTCATATGCGCGATATTGCGCTACGTCGCACGTCTTTTCATATTGGGCTGTAAGCAATCAAGGGCAAAATCGCGCGACATCCGCACAAAAAAGGGTCATGTACAAGCGACGAGCTACAGGCGACATTGAGCTGTAAGATGTGAACAGCTCCATTGAAATGCATTGGACTAACTACATAGAGCGATATCGCGCGGAAATATGCGCGATTTTGGAGTGGAAATTCGTGCGATGAACCGCTCAGTGTGAACGGAGACTTGGGCTGGGTTCAAGCAGTGAAATCCTATTAACTCCTATGGGCATGGTTCCCACCTGGGCGTATTTCAGCACGTTTTGATGCGCTGAAAAAAGCCCTAAGCCTGAAATAGTACAGGAGCTTCTTTGGGGCGTATTTCAGCGCATATCCATTGGTATTCCCGAGTGTGGCTCGGGGTTAACAAAGCGGTAACCCCAAACCACACGGGAATACAGCGTAGGTCTTACCCTGCCCGCGATCCCCGCTGTGTCCTCTGGGTTCCATCCCTTGCGAGCGTCCGCGTCGCAGGGGGGCGGCACCGGCGTGAAGTTTGAAAGGTGAAAAAAAAATCCTACCGACAGGGAGGTATAAAAACGAGCGTCGAACGCGCGTTTCACTGAACTAAAAAATGCGCATAAAATGCACCTATGGTACGCCCAGGTGTGAACCCAGCCTTAAGGTTTCTGATTGTGATACAGAAGTGATACATTTCAGGCACAGAGATACATTGTAACATTCTGCCTGAGATGTATCGCACAGCTTCATAAACATCGGGCCAGTCTATGGAGCTGTCAAAACAAATAGCAGAGAGGTGACTCACTCTGCTACCTCTCTGCTATCTTCAGCTGTCAAGTACCTGACCAGACTGGGACAAAAAATAGGCCCAGGCATTTTAGACAGAGCAGCCCAATCATGTGAACCCGAAGGCCCCGCCCCCAATACAGGGGTGGGGCTGAACATGGAGGTGCAATTGAGGGGCGGGGCAAAACACAGAAGAGCAATCGAATGCAAAAAATAGAGCAAGCCCTTTTTTTGCACTTGCAGTGGAACGGAACGCTGGCAAAGTTTTGCCACGCGTCCCATCGCACTGAGGGCAGGGGGGCGTGGAAGCGGTGCCATTGACTTCAATGCACCGCCACGCCCCCTTTCGCCCCAAAATGCGGGTGGAAATTTCTCAACGATCGCGGTGCGTTCCAGCAGCTACCGCACTGGAACGCTTTCGGTGCGAACAAGGCCTTTGGGGATTAGCGACGTGCTGGCTGGACTCAGGGATTAGTGACGCGCTGGCTGGACTCAGGAATTAGCGACACCCCCCCTGAGACTCCACAGAGCGCACCAGTGGCCCAGCCTCCTCTGCCGCCGGTCTGATGCTGCTGGGGCCCATGCTGCCCCTTGTATGGCCGATATGCATGTAGGGGGCCCGGGCCCCTCATATGAGTCGACCATACCCCCCTGATGGCAGCTCTCTCCGCTATGTTTGGCTCCTGTGCCAACCCCCGATTCCCCCCCCCCTGTCCAGCATGGGGTTGTGGAGCTCCTCTCACTCCTCCAATCTGCTAGTGATTCCCCCTCCTCCCCCCTCCTCGTCAGCTCACCTTCTCCTCCTGGACTCCGTTCTGTGTTTCTGTGATCTTTAACAGGACACGCCTAAAGGACTGACAGCTAAAGGGTGATGTACGATAGTACGATAGTACGACAGTACTATCGTATTGTTGTGAATTGCGCTATTTATATATAGTATTTTTATGGTTGTATAGTGATGGACATAGTAATTTAGATCAAGTAAACCAAAATGAGCAAAGCACTACTTCGCTTGAATATGGATTACTAAGTACATTCTATCACATAGAGTTGACCAGGGGAGGGAACGTTTATAAACTTGTATATGAAACAGTATCTAATAATATTTAAAAAAAAACAGAAAAAAATACTTGCGTTTACATTTTTATATAATAAAAATTTAAAATGTGTGCTTATTAAAAATACAATACCATTTCTGTTGATTTTTAGTAGTTTCATTACTCAGTCTTACAACAGCAAATTTGTCGGCAATAAGAGTTGCAGTTTCTATATGTTTTGTTAGCGTTAAATAATAATTCCCCAGCTAATGCTTAGGAACAATGTTCTGGGTATGACATTGCAGCCAAAAATAATGTTTTACTTTGTTGGATATTATTCCTTGTTAATTAATAGAAATAAATTAAAAAAAGAGAAATACTCAGACATGGATTAGCACAGCTCATTAAATGTGGGAACATTGCAACAAAGTCTTGGATTTTTTTCATGCTACAGTCAAATTGTTAAGCCTTATGCTTGAAAAAATATCATTTTATATCAACTGTCACTCAAGCGGCGGCCATATTGAGTGGGGCATGTGAGATTAATAATGTGCTGGATTAGTGTGATCCTAGTTCATTTTATTACTTCATTCGATTAAAAAAAATTTGATTAATCGAACACAAAAATGTTAATCAGTACCAGCCCTACTTTAAAGTTATCTCTAATTCTGGATATACTATGTTTTATTTTATTGTTTATCCGATTAATCGAACCTAATAATCGGCTAACTAATCGATTTTGAAAATAATCGTTAGCTGCAGCTCTAGTCCAGACAGCTGCCAGGGATGCTGAAAGCCTTAGTTGTAGTAATGCCAGATAGCTTTGATATTCCGGCTATGCTGTTGTAAGAACCAGTGCATGTAGTTTTTTTTTCTTTCATTTTGAGCCTTTTTTTTTTTTTATGCAACTCTAAAACAAATCAACAAACATGAATAAAAACAGCAAAAAGTCTAAATATTAATGGTTAGAAGAAGAAAACAACAGCAGTAAAATAATAAAGTAAAAGGGGGGGAAAAGGCATACATTAGGGCAGTCAGAGTAAACAAAGGGTTAATAAGGGAGGGGTTAAATAGCAATACATTTAATTTTTTTTTAAACTGGTCAGGTTGCTTTAACTTGGGTCTCATGCAGATTGAAGCTCATCCCTCTGGTCTACAAGTGAATGAGAGTACATACAAAATTAACAATGTTACTTTTTATCTCTCTAACTGCTATTTGAACATTGTTTATAAACATTGTGTGAAAAAATTCTCGGCCTGTGCACTTCGATAAAGTTTTCTTGGGCGTCTTTCCCCCCACTATTTCCCCCCACTATTTTTTTCACTGCTTCACAGGTGTACACAATTTTTAAGCTTGGCATGCTGAGTATCTATTTACATGGCACAATCTTAGCTTTTATATTTGATAAAAATGGGTATAATATCATGTTTTTGGGTGCTAAAATTAACGTAACTGCATTTTTACTGAAATTTCGTGTTTGAGGGGGGGGGTTTAAGTAATTTTCAGGCTTAAAATTTGTATTCAAATGTGTGCAAATAAATAGCAGAAACGGCTCTGGCAACGAAAGGGTTAACATTGAAGCACTGCAGAACCACACAGAGAACCCTCCATGTGCCGCCTGATGTAAACCTGCTGCCCCCTGATTTGCATTTAAGTGGATGCCTACTTATCTCAGCACAAAAAAGCAAAGTGTCATTTGGGCCAGCACCGGTTGTCATTTTTCACAAATGATTGTAGCTGCACTGTTTGTGTTTATGGGTGTTTTTTTGTAATACCTAGAAAGTCCATAGTCCCATCGCACTCCTGACTAGTGATGGGCTCGGGCGTGTTTAGCAGCTCCACATGCCGAGCCCGCCAGGAAGCTGACAGCGTGCAGCGCCAATCACAGGCACTGAGACATATCCCGATCTCTGCAGCTGTGGACCGGGAACATGTCTCAGTACCTGTGATTGGCGCTTCGTGCTGTCTGCTTCCTGGCGGGCTCGGCACGTGGAGCTGTGAACGCGCCCGAGCCCATCACTACTCCTGACTGCACGATCCCTTTTCAAGAGGCGGGTGCTACGGTAGTCGAAGGGTGGCAACCATCACAAATATAAGCAAAAGCAGAGGCACTCCCGGGTGAAAAACAACAAACATCTATTTATTGACGTACAGCATACCAAGTATTGCAACAAACGTTTCGGGGTCACGCAGGATCCCCTTCCTTAGGCAAAAATAATACCTCTCACAATTTCCCCATTCCTTCATAAACCCCCACACATTCAGGAACTGTGTCATCTTTTATTTCTTTCTATATGGAGGTGTTTTTTGTTCATGTACATTAGGACTTTGGGAGATTACTAACGTTCTGAAAACTTTGTTTTTCCAGTGATGAGGCCATGCGCAAAGCAGGGGTTGCTCACACAAAGTCTAGTAAGGAGATGGAGAGTCATGTGTTTCTGAAGGCTAAAACACGAGTAAGTATATCATATCCATCTCAGTGTTGCTCAATGATACTTACCTGTGCCTACCTAATGATGCTGCCAACACCACACCTACCTAGTACATATCTTGTGTATACATCATACTTTATTGTGTATTAATCACAGTGAAAGTCCCCCTCCAGTATTCTTTGAAATACTGCTGTATATGCAGAGACTTGGGGATTTCCTGTAGGGAATTTTTCTTTGTTAGTACATTACTATTACTGGTTGTTTTGACCTTTTTAACCACTGAAACCGCAACCAAAAGTAGCTACTAGCAGTTCATCTCATTCACTTGTTTGTGATGCTGACGAACATGGCAGTGTGTACTCCTGCACTGCATGCACTGATCTCAGAGGGGCCTTACTTTGTTTAGGGGCTGATTAACACGGAGGAAGAGAATATTTATTATGTGTGTGTTCCTTTTCTGCCTGTCCAACTCTTTGACTCCTTTTCCCCTTTTTATGCCCCCTTCGGGTCGTCTGGTGCATATGTGTTATTTTCAGTGCCCAACAGATCTACTCCTTGTATATTAGTTGCCCATGCTACCCATAATACCCATTACTTGCTCTTGTTATACTGTAATGTGCATTATGTGTCATGTATGCCTTTCTCTTGATTACGAGGACTTGCATCCTACATGTTTATCGTTTTTGCACCTTAGTGTTCCCCTATCCTTCTTTTTATACTTCATTAAGAATGCCTATTTTATATGTTTCATGCTTCTGTCCATGCAATTGGAAATGTCCATGTTAGTTAATTTTAAATTTTTAGTTAATGTTAATTTTTTTTTTTCTTCTAAATGTTCTAAATAAAAAAACAATTAAAAAAGAATATTTGCACAAAGAAGGTTGTTGTCCACATCACTCCTAGTAAATCGGTTGATTGGTTGCTATAGGCAACAGTTCTGAACTTGTGTGCATTTTCTTTTCCCTAGTTTTAATGGATCAGCCCTTTTGGATCGATCATGTTTTCTGCATATGTATCTTACAGCATGTGTTTACCTCAGTGTTTGTTTTTATTCCAGGAAGAGTATTTGTCTTTGGTTGCAAGACTTATTATTCACTTTCGGGATATCCGTAAGTTACAAAAGATGATTTGCTAGCAGTGTAAACCAAGTGATTTTGTCTCTTATCTTAAAAATCTCTTTAGGCTAGCTGTTGGAAATAAGCCACTGGCTGAATGCAAAAGAGGAATAAAGCTGGCCATACACCTATAGTTTATCTGCAGATTTTCTATGGTCAGATGGAAAACGTGCGTCAGATTCCTCCCATCTACGCTAAACTGTGTTGATGGAGGAATCTCCCGCTGGGCCAAGCTTCAGTATCTTGCTAGTCGTCCCCACTGGCTCTCAAAATACCTGAACAATCTGATTGGATGCAGGCACTGTTCAGGTATTTTCAGATCCAGCGGGGCTGACTAGCAATATACTAAAGCTAGACCCAGCGGGAGATTCCTCCATTCACACACCTTAGTGTAGATGGAGAAATCTGTAGCACTTTTTCCATCTGACCATAGAAAATCTGCAGATAATTGTAAGGTGTATGTGTAGCTTTGCTGTAATCATATAGCCTCATTAAAAGCAAGTTATGGTAATATCTTTCTTATTCATTTTTAAATCTGACTTTGTTTTTGGTTTTGTTTTGCTCTTTAAGGAATGTTGGAAGGCAGAGGAGAGCTTCCTCATCATGTGATCATTGTGATTGACTGTTGCGGTGGTCACATGATCCAGAGCCTGTGCCACCACCTTCTCATTGTAAACAGTGATCAGGAGCTGTCAGGTGAGAGCTTGGTCACTATGCTGTGAGCATGCTCTCGGCACAGAACAGCAGACCAACTGACCTATATATTTGTACAACCAGCGTTAATCCCCATGACTCATATATGCATTACACTGGTGGGAAGGTGTTCCAAGTGTTTTCACGTTTGCAGGCGAATTGGGATAAGAGCTGCATTATACACTGCCCAGCCAAAAAAGTTAGGCACTCTAATATTTCATTGGACCGCCTTTAGCTTTGATTACGGCATGCATTTCTGTGGCATGGTTTCAATAAGCGTATGCAATGTCACAACATTTATTTTCGTCCAGAGTTGCATTAATTTTTTTCAGCAAGAACTTGTAGTGATGATGGGAGAGTCAGACCGCTGCATAAAGTCTTCTCCAGCACATCCTAAAGATTCTAAATTGGGTTAAGGTCTGGACTCTGTGGTGGCCAATCCATGAGAGAAAATGATGTCTCATGCTCCCTGAACTCCCTGCACTCTTTCACAATTTGAGCCCGATGAATCCTGGCATTGCCATCTTGGAATATGCCCGTGTCATCAGGGAAGAAAAAACCCATTGATGGAAAAACCTGATCATTGAGTATATTCAGGTACGCAGCTTTTTGGGGGACATAACGTTGCTGAACCTAGACCTGACCCAACTGAAGCAACCCCAGATCATAACACTGCCCGAAATCCAGGTGGTGACTTTTTTCTGGCCCGACAGTGTATCCGTTACATGTTCCCAATCACATATAACTTCAAAAAAATATGTAAAGAATACTTTTTTACTTGCTGAAAAATCTTAGCTTTCTGCTAATGTATTGTACAATGCTAAGGAGGGGGCTGTGGAGTTCATTACCAGTTGCAAACTAGATGTGCGGGACTGCCTGCCCAAAAAAAGGGATCTCAAGGCATGGGTGGTACATTGTATGTTAATGTATTGTCTCTCAGTCTGTCCCTTTATCTGCACATTGCCATTTATTCTAAACAAAAAAAGCAGCTTTGACTTCAAAGATTAGTCAGACTTCCTGTATAACTTCGCTTGAGGCCAGTTACTGCAGAAGTTGATCATAGAATCTACTTTATAAGGGGCTGGTGTATGAAATATGTGCTGTAGGAAGAATTTCTTGTTGCAAATAGCTATCGGTCTGCTTTCATCGGTCATAAATGCAGTTAAGGTCTGAAAATGAAATGAGGGATCAGATTGGTTATAATCAGTAACGAACATTTCCTTAAAGGAGAACTATGGGCTCAGGGTTTTTTCCCCATAGTTCTCCTGAGGGTCACAGGAGAACACAAACTAGCGTTCTCACGTGACCCAACGCTCAGTATACCGCGAGCTGCAGCTCGTGGTATACTGGAACGCCGCAGCCGAATGTCTGGATCCACCCAGCTGCGGGATTGACAGCTGGCTCTGCCTATCCAGAGGCAGAGCCAACTGCCCGCCCCCATCCGTTTCGCCAGTCAGCGCTAGAGGATCGGACAGGGGAGGGGGGGGGGAATCCCTGCAGGGAGCCGTGAGTGACCGGATCCCACCTGTAAAGCCCGGCACCTACCTATGTCGCCCTGTATAATTGCTGTATGATCATGGATTGATGGGATATGTAGTCCTCTATTGCTGAGAGTCCTCTATTATACAGCAATAGAGAATGCCAACCGGCTGTAGAGGACTATAAATCTCCGCAATCCATTGCTGGTTGCCATTCTCCATTGCTGAATAATAATGGATTGAGTTACAGTTCTTCATAATTATAATGAAACTGCCCTAAAATCTTTAGTCTGTATTGTTTTAGAAAAAAATTCACATGTCCCTTCAAGAACAAGTATCGGTGTGGTGCACACATAGTAGATTTATATATTTTTGCTTATTGAAGAATATAGGGCTGCAACAACTAATCGATAATGAGAATCCTTGTCAACGTCATGTCACCTTAAAGAGAACCTGTCCCCTCCAATGTGCAATCATTTAGGGGGCTTGTGAGCCCCCCCATGTGATAGCAATGAGGTCAAAAAAACCAAAGTAGAAAATAAAGTTAAACAAAATGAAATAAAAAATGTAAAGTCTCCCAACCCAGCGAACGCTCACATACTAACGGAAACACAAGTTAGGTAGAGAAACTGCAATTGCGCTACATATGTCGGGTATTGCTGCATGCGTCAGAGTGAGAGCAATAAGTCTCGTGCCGCTTTTCATGGCTAAACCCAGCTAAACTGATGACCGGGATTTTATAATAAATATTTCTCTCCCGTTCATTGAAGGACACAGGCAACAGATCGTAGATCCTGAATGGTAGGGTAATATCGCCACCTGCAGGAGAAGGACGCTAGGCACAAAACTAAAGACCAATTACAGCCTAGGGGCGGCCCCTGCCGGTGGCCAAACCCCCCACCTGCTGACAAGTCTCCAGTTTTTTGCCTAGCGTCAGGAGTAAGGAGCTAAAAAATTTTCTCTGGAGAATTTTTTTCCTTTCTTCCGTTTGATTTGATTTTTCTTCTAGCAAGTGTCCCCAGGGCGACAGGCTGGATGACTGTAGATCCTTGTAGTCTCCCCTGGGTGACCGACGAGCGCATGCAGACTCTGCTACGGTGGGTCGGCTGCGACGGGTGGTCCTCCCCGACGCCTATGGGATTCGTCCCAGGGGGGGGCTCCTGACCGGGGGCTCCGGCCCACCGGTCGCGGCTCTCCCCGCAGGCTGGCGGCGCCGCGGCTTCGGTCGGGGGCGTTCTCCTGCCGGTACCCTGCTCCTCCTGGATCCTGGCGATGGTTCCTGTCTTCCCTGGTGGTATGTATGTGGGGTCTCCGGTGGATGGCCTGAGGACCTGGATCTGAGGTAAGCTGCATGCTGCACTGTTTCACAGCTGCAGCGTCCTGTGTCTTCCTCTCTCCCTCTCCCCCCCATGCTGTAATTGGTCTTTAGTTTTGTGCCTAGCGTCCTTCTCCTGCAGGTGGCGATATTACCCTACCATTCAGGATCTACGATCTGTTGCCTGTGTCCTTCAATGAACGGAGAGAAAAGGATTTTACGGTGAGTACAAAATCCTATTTTTTCCCCAAAATGAAATACACAAATTCAGTGTTGGAAAGTTTACTTCAGAATAAAACTGCATGCACATTTCTTGCACTCGCACCACGCGTTCCAGTGCAGGTGAGCACACTGTGGGCAGGAGGCTTGTTTGGGATGCCTTTGAAATCAATGGCACCACAATGCACATCCTGGAGCAGAATTTTCAGGCCTCGGCCAACTAATTGATTGTGAAAATAGTCGTTAGTTGCAGCCTTAGAAGAATATACTTAGATGAAATTTTGTGTGCCCTGAGTTCAGCGTTAACTTTTCAGAAGAAATCAGAGTGTGTGCTGAGAGTTTGTACTTTCCTTTTTACAGATAACAAGAAATCCCAAGCATCAGTAAGTGGTAAGACTTCTTAAACCTTTTGTCTAAAGGCTTTCCCTGAATTTCACATGGTTACAGAACCGCACTGTGGTTTTAGAAAAAGTCATGCTTTTGAAATGAAACTTTCAGTAATGGTGTTTCAGTACCTCTTAGTGTCATCCATATATGCAGAGATTTAAGATAAAGATCCCCAATGTGTCATCGGTGAACATGGCTGAACCAGGAATGAAAAGCTCAGCTTTCATGATGCAGCAGCAGTTTTAGCCTTTCTTGTAAATCTCCACTGTCAGTAAACATGATCTAGAGCAAGATGTAGACTCCAGTATACGTTTCTTGATGTCGGAGAACTTTTTGCTAGATGGGTGGAATTAATATCTTTTCATTTTCAGATTGTATACATTGGCATTCTCTGACATTTTTTTTCTTTTTTTTTTTTATACTTTCCTAAAGACCCAATGAATGCTTTACAGACTCTGACTGGTGCAGCTCCTGTTAGTGCACAGGGAATACCCATGGGTGTCCGTCCTCCTGGGGCACAGATGGCAGCCATTGGTGGAATGGCACAAATGGCACAACAAATGAGCCTCCCTGGTCAGCCACAGCCAGGTGCATCGGGTATGCCACCACATGGATTGGCAGGTGTATCAGCCGGAAACCAGCCTAGTAAGTAACTGAGGAGTTATAAAATTGGGAGGTAAGTGTATGTAAAGGCAAACAGGGAAGGTTAGACTCTTTGTCAGGTCTGTATTGCTGTCTGTGTCTCTGCTGGGGAGATTCACCCTCTCTCCTTGTTCAGGTGACCCTAAATTTTAGCGTTTCGCCACAGCAATAGGAGACAGTTTTTGTGACGAGTCCTCTCTCGAAGATGGGAATTAAGTTTTACTTTGGAGCGATTTCCTCTTATTTCATGTTGTGTGAAGTAAAGAGAAATCTCTGGAGTGGGACACAGGCAGCAAAAAATAACCTGATCGGGGTTTTAACTGCTCTCGACTCTTTTTTCTAAAACGGAAAATGTATCACCTTTATATACACTTTGAACCTTTTTGTCTACACTTCATCAGAACTTTACTTGTAGCTTGTGTACTCTGTGTCATTGTATTGGAACCATAAGATCATCTGGACAGCCAAACAACTAGATTTTTCAAGAGGCGTGCAGCAGTGATCGTCCCTGGTTTTCTGAGATTCGGCAGATAGGCTGAAATGAGAACTTCTTATTAAAAGCCAGAGCAACACACATACTATCAAGAGCAGAATTAGTGTTACGAAGATAAAATGTTATATTCATTTTATACTTTTGGGAGTGTTCTCTATCATTATCTACCCTATAATATATTTTAGGTATGCTGTGTGAATAAGAATGCATAATAGTGGGGTTTTCTCAAATTTGATTTCTGAAGTAAAAAAACAAACAAACTTTAAAGTGGAATTCCAGGAAATGTTGCCTTTGGGGCTCCCCCGTACTGCAAGAGTTTAATGCTCATTTTTGTCTAGGGTGCCTTTTTTAAATCTCCTTTTTGGAAGTGCGCAGCAGTCTTTTTTTTTTTTTTTAATCACAAACAGGAGTTAAGTGCCGATACAGGCACTAATGTGTTACTAAAGCTGACCATACACCTTGTATTTTTTTTTTATTCAAACCGCACGCTGAACGAAAAAAGTAACAGATAAGAGCGTTGATTGAGGTATCCCCGCTGTTTCCATTGTATTCTGACAGTGGCCTCCGTGCTGCTGTCAGAATACCCAAACAGAGCCAGCAGCTCATTGGCTGCCCGCTGTGTTCGTTCAAAGATTTTCACATAATGTATGGCCATCTTAAGGCATAGTGCATTTGGTAGAATAAAGCAGTTTGATCCTTATTTTATAAGGTAGAAAGCAAAGTGTAGTCACCCATAGCCACCAGCCAGCAGATGTTACCATATCAATACTTCATATAGTTGTGCGTGTACTATGGAGTAGGTTGATGTCTTAAATTTTCTTACTCTGTTTCTTAGCCCAACTGCAACTCCAGCAAATGGCCCAGCAACAACAACAGCAGCAGCAGCAGTTTCAGCAGCAACAGGCAGCCTTACAACAACACCATCAGCAGCAGCAGCAGCAGCAGCAGCAACAACAACAGCAGCAGCAGTTTCAAGTCTCTCAACAAAATGTTATGCAGCCACAGCAGCAGCAACAGTTTCAAATGGCAGCCGTAGCTGCGGCTCAACAGCAGCAGCAGCAGCAGCAGCAGCAACAACAACAAGCACAACAGCAGCAACAGGCACAGCAGCTTCAAGCTGCAGCCCAGCAGCAACACATATTGAAGCTACAGATGCAGCAACAACAGAGTCAGCAGCAGGTAATTATGTGACTGTAACTTTAACTGTGCTTGAGCTGCAATGAAATGCAACTTCATTCTACTATTATTACTTCCTTGTTGTCGAGGCCTCTTCTTTTTTTTTTTTTATTTATTTTTTTATTACCCTTAGATCTTTGATAATGATAAAATGCTTGATTGCATTCTTGTTTGAAAAAATTGTTTCCACAGTGTGTCTATTTTCTTTTTTACTGTTTATTTTCAGCATATTTATAAAGTACTGCTATGTGCTTGATGAATGTGCTTTGCGTTGTGCTTGCTTTTGGACTTAAGTGAACTCGCATTATTTTTAATGAATGAGTGGAAGAAACTGTGTGCTTGGGAGTACTTGTTTGAGGTCATGTGACAGGGCTCCCCTCCTATCTGCAAATGCGTGATGTTTCATGCAGTGTCCTCTAATCTATAATGGTGTGGAGTATTTCCAGTGATGTTCTGTAGTGTGTATGAGGTACATCCACATTCAGAAATAGGCTCCATTGTTTTTAGGGGCTTAAAGTGGGTATGTCATTGGAATCCTAAGTTTTCACATGCCTGTGGTGGGCATATTCACATACCATGGGTTTTTGGTTATAAGCAGTCTGCTTGAATTAAAAGAACCCTCCACACACACACACCCCACACGCCCTACATTGTACTTGATGACGCCTATTTGCCTGCGACTCCTGGAGCGCCTTAGACTAGGGGCTATGGCACCTGGTTGCATATTGTGAAGGGAGGCTGCAGGAGCAAGGGATTAGACAACCCCCTTTTTTTTTTTAACTGGTAGCCTAGACATAAGTGAGCATTTAACCCTTGTAGTGCGGGGGGAGCCCCCTTTGGAAGCAAGTATTTTTCTTTCTCCGGAGTTTAATTTTATCCTTTTTAATATTCTGAATTTTTTATGGTTACAAGATGATCAGTTCTACCATTATTTAAGCATTAAAGTGTTAATGCTTCTCATTTGTAAGTCAAATATATTCAAAGTGATCTTGTCAAATCTCCTTATTTTTAACCAGTTGTTTTCTTTCTTTAGCAGCTGCAACAGCAGCAGACTCCACTGAGATTTCCTCATATGCAGCAAATGCAGCAGCAGCCAGTTCAACAAGTCATGCAACAGCAACAACAACTGCAGCAACAGCAGCAACAACTGCAGCAACAGCAGCCACAGCAAGTGATGCAGCTCCAGTTGCAGCAACAGCAGGTGGCACAGAATCAACAGCAGTTGCTTTCCTCCCAATCCCAAGCCCAGTCTTTGGTGCAACCAGGACAGACACTCTCTGGACAGATTCCTTCCCAAGTTATGTCGGTAACTCTCACACCGCAGCAGCAACAACAGTTAAAGTTACTTCAGGTAATTTCCTGCAAAGGCTGCAAACTATTTGAAAAACCTGTTTTGAAATATGTATATTTATTTAATGCTTCTTGAACGTGGGCATTTAGTGCATTTAATCTAAATAGGCCCCAACACCTATATAACTTCAGCAACCATTGAAAGCAAAACACTTGCCTGTACCAGCTCCGCCAAGATATTTGTTGTGCCGCTCAGTGAAAATCTCAGCAGGGTGGGGAAAGGTGAGAATGTTGCTTTGAAGGGCTGCTGATGTTGTAAGTCTATGGGACCAAAACGAGGTGTAATATGCCAAAGAAAAAGCTCATGTACTTTTCCCAGCAACAGGCATTTTCCTTATTGTGACAAAACGTTTAGATGTGAACAGGGTCATAGAAATGAATAGGCTTTTTTGGGGGGCATAATTTTTTTAGGGCAGAAAAAACGCTACAAAATGATCAGTGTGAACCAGGCCTAAGAGTAAGTGCGCTTACCCTTTAAAATTTCCAATTTAGTTTAGCATTTGTTATCACCAAAATATTTAAAGTGGAAATGTACATCTTTCTGCAACAAAATCTGTTCTGTATTCTAAAGCCTAGGCAGCACACGTCACATGGTCTTTGTCGGCAGCATCTGTGGGTGTTTCAGGTCATTAAAACTTCAAACAGACTAAGGGGGTGACTTATAAACTGTTTGCAAAAGGAATAACTATACAAATATGATTACACACCTTGCATTTATTTTAATGTTGTTGGCATGCTCTTTCTCACTTGAATATCTAAAAACGTATGTTTGCCACTGCCATTTTAAAGATCAGCTCTGTGCTAGTGAAAATAAAGAAATAACATTTAATCCAGTTATATATTCAAAAGAAACATTTAAGGGGCATATTTATAAAGCAGTGAATCTGACATATACTATACTATTCCTCGCCTCTTCACACCAGCACAGTCTGTTCCAGACCAGAGAAATACTGCATGTCTCACTTTGTCTGGTCTAGAATGCACTGAAACGCATGCAAATGAACTGGAACGCACCTAAAAGCCCATTTTAAGCTATAAAAAACAGCTCCAGAAGGTGGCAAAAATGCGGTAAAACACAATGCACTGCATTCCAGATCTGGTCCGGAAAATGGTTTGAACCTGCCCTCACAGGGATCTATTTTCACTTTGACAGAGGAGTCTGTCAAAGTGAAACAACACTCAACACTCAAACTCTGCTGGTCTTGTGCAGTAAAGTAAAGCGTACTCTTCTGAGCATGTGTATTTGGAATGCTGGTGCAGAAGGATGGAGGACAGTTTCAGAAAAGGAACCTTTTTCTCTTGTCCGTGTATAAAAGCTTGGCAGGTGTCATCTCTATTTACCTCTTCAGCAGGCGCAAGCTCGGCAAGTGCATCAACAAGCACAGGTTCAACAAGCCCAACAGCAAGCGCAAGCACAGATGCAGGCAGAAAAGCAAGCTCAGCAACAGCAGGCGGCACAGCAAGCAGCTCAACAGCAGGTGCAGCAGGCCGCTCACCAGCAAGCCGCTCACCAGCAAGCCGCTCACCAGCAAGCCGCTCACCAGCAAGCCGCTCACCAGCAAGCCGCTCACCAGCAAGCCGCTCAGCAACAAGCCGCTCACCAGCAAGCCGCTCACCAGCAAGCCGCTCAGCAGCAGGCTGCTCAGCAGCAGGCTGCTCAGCAACAAGCCGCTCAGCAACAAGCCGCTCAGCAACAAGCCGCTCAGCAACAAGCTGCCCAGGCTCATATGGCGGCAGCAGCAGGAGGCCAGGTAAGTGAAACCATTGTGGTGTTTTTGCATGGAGTTTATTTTAGTCGCAAATTAAAGCCACTTGAAGCAGCATTGCAGGTTTTATATAGTAAAGTTGACCCCTCCATCACTCAATAAAGCCATTTTTCTTCCGTTTTGGATGAAGTATGAAATGGCCAATGGCCTTTGTCACTGGCAGTGAAAGTGATAGAAAATCCCAAATTAAGTTGTCGCTGAAACAGGAATAAAGGACAAATGTTCCAGTGGGGACATGTTTTCCAGTCGCGCAATTTTCCTTTCTTTGGAGAGATCTCTCACTTCCTGTTTCTCAGGTCCAAATGTGAAGGTACATCTTCCCAAAGTGTCACAGACGGCAATAAAGCCTGTCAGGGTTCCATACCCGATCCCTATCCAAAATTAGAATATTTTAGGTATGCTATAATGCCTAATCTGCCCAACCATGCCTATTTTCATTGAAAATGTATTATTTTTTGAACAAGCCCTGCCTCTTTTTCTGCGTCTTAAACGTAGTTTTCCTATACGATTGTTGGGAAAGCTGTAATTTTCCACTTCCTATTGTGATTTACATTCTTTTTTTAAACACAAATCTATTTGCAGAGCATTTCAAATATTTCACATTCTGTTCCATTTAACTTGCAATTCTCCTTCATTGCTGGTTTTGGGTGCAATAATATGCCTGTTGGTTGAAGAGGAGCCCTCTACAGTTGTGAACATTGTGGATAGCGCAAATCATAATGAATGGCAATGGAGGTAGGGCTTATAAACTACCCGCTTGGAAACTGCACAAGTACTTTCATAAATGGACGGATGGTGGACTTTCAGTTTGTTGAATAGGCTGCTCTTGATACAATAACAGGGTTTCACAGCTTCATGAATCATTTTTCAACTACACTTATTTGGAGTTTAGACTTGTCTGTCAGCTGGTAGTGGACTGCACACCTATAGCAGAATAGGTGACGGTGTCTTTTTCCTTGTGACCGTTCTCAAAATCCCCCACATTCCCATCAGGTCATTGTCTTGCTTTGGTTTCATCCACTCATTGTACATGTAAAACTTTTTTTTTTTCTTTTAAATCAGGCACGGGCCTTGGCAATGCCAAGGCAAGATATTTAGGACTTTGCACATCAGCCATCGGATATCAAGCCTGACATCACTTCTGCCCATGTGTTTCCAGGCTTTTCCTGCATGGCCTAGACATCAATTTTTTTTTTTGCCTTACGTAGTCTTTTTCATATGGGCCATTTGTGGCTTTATCATGCAATGATTGCCAGCAGATTGGCATTCAGTGTATGGTATTTAATAGTTTAAATTAGGGATGCACTGATACCGGCTTTTCAGTATTGAATACGAGTACCAATATTTTTTCACTGATACCAGAAGTCCCAGTAAGGAAGCCTTCCCAATTAGCACAGAAGCCGTCTCCATGCTCCCTCGTCACCAAGTGACAAGGAAGCATGGAGCCGGCTGTCTGGACAATCGGGAGGCTGGGGGTGGGTAATGACTCGCCGCCCGGATTCCTGATAGGTGGAGTAGCTGGGCAATTAAGAAGCTGGGCAGCGAGTCATTACCCGCCCCCCCGGCTTCCTAATTGGCTGAGAAGCCGGCTCCATCCTTCTCGTCGCCAGGTGACGAGGGTGCATGAAGCCAGCTTTCTGGCCAATCAGGAAGCCGGGCAGCATGTAATGACTCGCTGCCCGGCTTCCTAAAACCGGAAGTTCGGGTATCGGGCCAGGCATCGGAGCATTTGGGCGAGTACGAGTACTCGCTCAAATATTTGTTATCGGCACCGATATTAGTATCGGTATCTGTGCATCCCTAGTTTAAATGATCGCCTAGTGGTCTTGAATTCTTTAGGGAGAAAGGTTTCCTATAATTTCCCGTTACATGTCACTATATTCATATTTAATTTTTTTTCTGGGTGATTTTGAAGTTTGTAAAATAGAGAAAAGCTTTGTTACATAGTAATAATAAGCTAATCCATAACAAAATGCAGATGTATGAGGATTCTCGGGGGCTATTCTTTTGACTCTGCTGTGATCTGCAAGCTTAATTAGAAGTCTTCTATGCTTGGGGTGCTGTAGAATGCTTCTTAGTTTGTAGGGTGTTCATGGGATCCCTGCCCTTTTTGTTTTTTTGCATGCATGCATTCCTTTCCCTTTCACCACTGGCACTGCATTCTTGTTTTTACTTTTGTCTGTTGTCCCTCTGTCCTCCAAAGATGATCACCGCAACTATGACTCGAGGTGGGATGACAATAAGGTCGCGGTTCACGCCCACCACTGAATCTGACACGCCTCCAAGCTCCATCCCTATGGGAGGACAGCAGATCCCACAGGTATTGACTGACTTGTGGGTGCTAGAGTTATGACAGGCCCTCAAAATAAGAATCTGTTCTCCTGGGTTGGCAGCCTTGATCTGCTCATACTGATAGAAAGTTTTCTTTGTGGGATATTTAATCATGTCTTGTGTAGATTTAGATAGTTTTGCTTCTGTTGGATTGTGATGTTTGCTGTTGTGCATGTTCCTCTAGAACTATAGCGTGTGGTTGGCTTTTGCTCCTTTTTTTTACTGTTTAGATTGCTTTATTTAGCATAGAGTTCATGTTGCATATTCACAGTTGACTAAACAGTACAACAACAAAACATCAGCAATAGCTTTCCCATTCGATGAATTCAAGAAATATATGCTTCCGGTTTTAGCTTTTAGAGTTCAACTCTAGGATTGGTCAATAAAGTGTCAATTCACTTGTTCACGGCATAGGCACTTTGTAAAAAAAAATAATTATGTTAAAAGTACTCCTACGCTCTTCTAAAGATTGTTCCATATGGAAGATTCTGACCGTTACGTATAACTGTTTAACATGCACGTGCAGGGATCACATCAGATAGCAATAGGCGAATGTTGAGTTGGACTATTTTGAAAGTTTGTCATCGGACCAGGTCAGTATCGGGATGTCCACCAGCGATGTATGATGGTTTGCTGGAAGCATATCCAAACCCAAAAACAAACATAAATTGCACACGTTCTCTTTTTTCCAGGGTTGTTTCCTTTTTATTTTCACCAGGTAATCCTGCAAATACCACATCTTCCTGTCCTGGATGGCTACGTTCACTCATTCCATTAAATCTATGGAGGGAGCTATGGTTGCCGCCCTGGCTAGACTTCACACGTCTGCATTTTTTTTCCATCATTTATTACATGCAGGTTGATAGAATTAGTCATTTAAAAAAATATATTGTTTTTGCTGTCTGCTCAGCTCACAGGAAAGGACAAGGATGCTGCATTTCTGGCAAGATCATAAGCTATTTTCTATACTTTCTGAAAATGTTAGTAGCCTGGAAAATGAGAACCTACTACAACCACCACATTTAAGGATTGGTACGCTGCAATATATTACAGTTTTTGGGTTTAGATACGCTTGAAATGTGCATGAACTGGGAGATGGATGGTACCAGAAACCTTTAGTGGCATGTCTTTTCTGTCTGTGTATGACTGACTATGAAAACAGATAACGGTTATTAGCAGATATGTGGGTTCAAGTTATATGAACATTCAATTGATGGCCCAAGGTACGAGTATCATAAGCTAAATGGCTGCTGCTCTTGGTTTTGCGTTGTCATTTTTACTTTCGCGTAAACAGTCTGGTAAGTTATTGTAAATGTCGTGCAAGTTCATATGCTAATTCTTTTTAATAAGGCAAAATCCAGGCGATTGGGTTCAGTCTCATACATGCTGACTTCTGGCTTTCACTTACGCAGGAGGCTCTGCGAACAAGGTTCCAAATCTAACTTTCTATCTGCAGGACCAGCACCAGGCACTTCTGACTGTTGTGTGTCGTTGTTTTTAGCTGACACTACACTCTCAGAACCCACCTAAATTGTGCAAAGCTCTTTCAGTTTTCCTTATTTACAACTGCAACATTTATTACAGGTAAATCAGGGCAATATCTCTTTAATGTCGTCACCATCTCCTGGACAGCAGGTGCAGACTCCTCAGTCCATGCCACCACCTCCTCAGCCATCCCCACAGCCTTCACAGCCAATGTCTCAACCCAACTCCAATGTCAGGTAAGCTTCTTTTTTTTTCCTCGTTTGTCCAGTTTATGAAGTATTTGGTTATACATACACGCCCCTTTAGTTTAGTAGAACGTATAATACCTTCAGAAAATATGAACAGGAAGGCGAGCATTGTACTGGGATCTCCTATTTGTTTTGGTTTTGTGTCTACGCCTGTCAGTGCTCTGCTTTGTTTCTAGAACAGCCAACCCAGCTATTGCAGTAGCTCTTCTGTAATACCCTGGGTTGTATTTGAAAAATAACAGAATCTGGCAAAGGGGTTTATCTGAGAGCAAATACTACTTCTACTGGCAACTATTGAGTATCTGCAACACAGTAAAAGTAGTAAATATTCATTGATGCTTGAATGCATGTATTTTATAAAGAATAACTTTATGTACACTAACATTCACTTTTTGTATAACTTGTATCATTAAATTGAGTGTGGAAGACATTTTAAAGCGGTAGTAAGCATGCAAAAATAAAACTGACATGTTGGGCCCCAGGAGGTGTTTGCCATATTGTGCTAGTGTGCACAGAATCTTGGCACATTACAGCTGACCTGCCTTGCCCTCCAGTGCTCTCCTTTGCTGCCAGCACTTCCATCTTCTCTTGGTCGTCTTCCAGGTTCGGCGTCTTTGGCCTCTTGATTGGCTATGTAACTCCCAGGCATGTGCAGAGGGGTTACTTCATCTCGGCGCATGATCTTGCTGAGCATGTGCACTGAGCTGCTCAAGTGTGGCTCAGCGCACCCAAACGCTGACTGGTAGAGAGGCGGCATTTATGACAGACACACAGGTTCTTTTTTTTGACAAACGTGAGTGTGTGAGTGTACTTCCACTTTAAACCTCTAAGAGTAAAAGCTCTGTGAAGAGCAGACACCAAAAGGTAATTGTTGTTATCATCTCTAGATAACGAAGCTTTCTCTGATTATGCTTTTACTTTGTGGATAGATTTAGCACTTATCGCACAGATATGATCAAATGTTTTAATTGTATATCTCACCTAATGTTTATACGTGTATTACATACACTTGAATTTAGACATGTTGTGTAGTAAATCCGAGTGATCTTTGGTTAGCTGGGCTGTGCTAAAATGATTTGGTGTTAATCTCTTCTTTTTCCAGCTCTGGTACAGCACCCTCCCCAAGCTTTATGCCAAGCCCATCCCCACAGCCTTCCCAGAGCCCGGCATCTGCTCGGACTCCTCAGAATTTTAGTGTGCCCTCTCCTGGACCCCTCAATACCCCAGGTGAAGAAGCATAATATCCTGTGTTGCCTGAAATCTATGTTCTGATGCATACCTAACCCAGAGCTCTTGTTCTGGGTCTTTTACCCTAACATATGTTAGTAGGTAAGTGTTTTGGGGCCCCACTGAACCTTATTCTTTTCTTTATGTTTATTATAAAGGCAATCCTAACTCTGTGATGAGCCCTGCAAGCACCAGTCAGTCAGAGGAACAGCAATACCTGGAGAAGCTGAAACAACTTTCCAAGTATATAGAGCCATTGAGACGTATGATCAACAAGATTGATAAAAACGAAGGTGAATTGTGTTCCTTCTAACGATGCCATTGCAAGGAACAAATATGCACACATTCGGATAACACCCTCCCATACTGCTGAAATAAAGCTAAACTTCAGGATCCCTTAAAAAAAAAAACCCCATAGTGTTGTAGTAGTGAAAAATGATGTACGAATACATTATATAAAATTTTGCTTAGTGCTTAAATGGCCTTTTCATGGTTTGGGTTACATGATAAAGTCTGGTACAAGCAGGTGGACACCCGTTTGTGATTTTTCTTCAATTTCCTGAACTACCTACTCCAGCAGCTAACTAATCGTGTAGGTGCGCATTGGAATTTTGGACAGTGCAGTTTGGTTAAGCGCAAGCAAGGTACATACAAATTCAACTGACCAGCTTAATGGGAAAACTAAGGAAGTTTCAGCACTGTTTTTGGCTTTCCTGATGACAAAGAAAGCAGTTTCCCAGGTTGACCAGATCATTCATTCATTCATCTCATCATTACACAGTACTTTTTATTCATTTTGCCTGGACTTTAGCTTAAATCTGAGCCAACATATATGGAGGACGCCTAAGAGTAAAGTGACAGTATGCTGCATTTACATAGAGTATACACCCCTTAGGCTAGGTACACACCAGATGCAGTGCGTTCCGGCCTGATTCTGGCAAGAACACACTGCATCGCATTGCGGCCGGCTCGCATTGCAGAAGTGAATGGCACCATAGCCACTCCCTCCAGCCACAATGCGATTGCCTTCACGGGATCGCAAGGCACGTTGTGCCTGCGGTCCGCTAAAATAGTGCTTGCAGCATTTTGATCGCACCGGACCGCAGGCACAATGTGCCTTGTGATCCCATGCGGGCGATCGCATTGCGGCCGGAGGGCGTGGCTACGGTGCCATTCACTTCAATGACCCGCCACTCCCCCTCCTGCCCCACAAAAAAGTGAGCAGGCCGCAATGCGATGCAGTGTGTTCTGGCCAGAATCGGACCGGAACGCACTGCATCTGATGTGAACCTAGCCTTAAGGCTGGGAAATGAATTGGGGTCAACATATGCACGTGATGAACAGCTAAACAGCTGAAAAAAATTTAATAAACGCACCCACATTGATAAAAGAAAAAATGTGCTTTTCGTTTTTTTGCATTAAAGCCTGCAGAACTTTGCATCTGCGATCAGTGCATCTCAGGTGCAATGCACAGACTCCTGCAGGCTTCTCTCCCAGCCCCAGGTCCATACGGAAATACGCACCTACCGTTATCGAGTACAAGTGCCATGACTGTATTAAGATCTGCGAGTTCCTCTGCTGCAATGACCGATGCGAGTAAAACATTGGGGTGGCATGAAACATGGTCACAGAGGTGGACTAAGCCTTTAAACGAGGCCCAGCCCTTACAATATTATGGTTGCCAGGAAAACGCAAGGAAATAGCTGTGAACCAGCACACAAAATAGTCATACACCACAAAATGTGCTAACCACAGGAAGTGACACTTAAAATAACACTATGCTATTATACTTCACGTTTAATACCCACCTCAGTAAAAAAAAAAACATGTTACTAGCAATTATTACACTGTTATTAAGCTTTTGCTATTCTGTTTTCTTTCTTAAATAAATTTTCAGATCGAAAGAAAGATCTCAGTAAAATGAAAAGTCTCTTGGACATCCTAACCGACCCATCAAAGAGGTAAATATTTGTGCCCTTTAGAATTCCCTGCTCCAAGTGGTTTTGTTCCAGTATGACTTCTATGTTGTTTTGTGTGTTCTAGGTGCCCTCTGAAGACACTACAAAAATGTGAGATTGCTCTGGAGAAGCTAAAGAATGACATGGCAGTGGTAAGAAATGTTATGCTGTATTCACAGCGCATGTGTCCCTAATGTAATTACTTGTAGCATGTAACAGACTGTGGAGGATGACATTGCCAAAAACAGGGTCTGTGTTGATAGGCATTTGTTCATACAAATCAGTGGAAAGCAAAAACAGTTTGAAGCATGTTGCTGCAGCTCTAGATTCAACTGGAAGTCAAATGCATCTGCCAATGAAGCGTGAATGACGTCAGAAGTGTCTCAAATTTGGGCTGATCTCACCTGTTGAAGCACTGAGAAACCAGCCTTGGGGAAATTGTAATACTCTGACAATATCTGTTTTGGGGGATCAGTTCAGATTTGATGGCCAGAGGGTTTCTGCAGTGGCTGCAGAGTGACCATAGATATACAATTGTTTCCAGCCCAACCCTTAAATCATGTAAAGCCTTATTCCCCAAAAAGAATTTCAGTAGGAATCTGGCTTTATGACACTTTATGTTAAAGCCTAACTCCACCTTTTACTTCAGACATCAAAATAAGTAGTCTAGTATTTGTTAAAACATATCAAAAAAGCCCTTGTTGCAATAATCGCCTACTGTTAGACACTGTCCGTTCCCCGGGGAGAGGTGTGCTTTAAATTTGTAGTGGCTGTTCTTTGCTGCCTTAGTAACTGCTGTGACTTCTGATCAGAGATGAAATGATGTCTGCGCCCTTTGTTATGAATGTAACTGTTCAGTGCACTTCATTTATAAAAAGTGGAATCATCATTTAGGCTGCGTTCACACCTGACCATTTTGTAGCGCGTCCTATCACTAGCCAACTCCACCCCCTCCAACTGTCCCTTCTACAAAGCAGCAGTATCTGTATCAACCTCTGTTGGATGCCGTCTTGGCGAATATCAGATCACCTGTATTTAACCACTCCCTGTATCGTACATTTGCTCCAGCTATGACTGCCATTCACGGGCAGCCTATCACGTAAGCAAATTTAGTTTTGTCTGATGCAGATATCCATTGTTGTTTGAAGACATTTAAAAGGAATGATTGTGTAAATATTTTCTAAATTAGATTTAAGACTAAAAATGTAACTTCTCCTTCTCGGTTTGCTAACAGTGACCAGAGTGCATACTTTTTACATGGCGTGCTGCTTTTGAAGGACTGTATTTATGTCTCCCCATCATACACTATTAGCATAATCAATATTAAGGTCCTTCTTGGAAGGAAGTTTATTCCTCGCCTGAACCATTATACCACGGTGGTTCAATAGAAAGTTCTATGGTTATTTGGAGACTTTACAAGCTATGTACTATGTTGTGGATGCATAATAATTCTGATTTAGGGCTAGTTGTTGCATTGGTGCAGGACCCTGCCCAGCTGATTTTTGGAATATTTTTACTTTTTGTATTGAACAAAGATTGTATTGATGGTTATTCGCTCATTATTCGATGGTTATATTGATTGTGTAGTCTCTATACATGAACCCCCAGGTATGAGATGTTGTTCTCCTGATTGTAGCATTTATACACCAGTAGGGTCCAGGATTTGTAAACAAGTCTTTTTTGTAATACTTGAATTGAGTCCTGCTACCGTTTTTTTTCTGCGATACACGACGCGCAGCTGTTTTAGCCACGATCGTGTTCAGAAGCACCGGCGGAATCACGGCAGGAAACCGCGCGATCTGCCCGATGCGACTGAAGTGCCATTGGAAAATAATGGCACCCACAGCGCGATCAGTGCACACCTATACGACTCCTATCGTGCAAGATTGCCGCCCGGTGGGGTGTCGCATAGGTGTGCACCGGCCCTAAGTAGTGGTTACTTGGCTAAGAGGTCTTGATGCACACTTATAGAATGGTGGTTGTTATATTGATTTATTTTTCCGGAATATTACATTGTGTTTCTGGGTCTCTTTACTGAAGTGTGTTACATCTAGCAGCAGATCAACCATAAAACTGACATTGTGATTACATTGATCCCTTACTGCACAGAAATCCTTACCATCAGCTTTGCTTTATTGTCTTTAGAGCTCAGATGATTGCTCCTCGAAAGCGAAAGTTTGAAGAAGACGAGAAGCAGTCTATTCCGAACGTTCTTCAGGGTGAGGTCGCCAAACTGCACTCGAGATTCTTGATAAATCTGGATCCCTCTCACTGCAGCAATAATGGGACCGTTCATCTTATTTGTAAATTGGGTAAGTATTGTTGGAGGAGACACTGAGACCAGCTTCTAGTGTCTGACAATTAAGATAAATGTAAGCCATGTGGCTGCATAGCAAATCTCATAATTGGCTTTGGGAATTAAGATATAAGCCATTAAATAGATAAGTCTGCTATGAATGGAGGGACATGAAGGCGGTCACTCATCAAGTAGTGCATATGACGACGCACCCAAGGCATTTAGGTCAATAAGACCAAAGCATAGGAATTAGGCCTAGTATTTTGGACCAGTCTTGTTTTGTTTTTTTTTTTTAAGTATCTTTCGCTATAGGCTAAATTACTGTGCGCCATGCAGCCTTGTGCTTTACAAGATACTTATTAGACGTAGTAAGTGACCTTTATGGGGACAGTTTGACCCTCTTTAACATATCCTCTTCTTTCTTTTGTTTTGTTAGTAACTAGTATTCTTTTTTGCATCTAGATGATAAAAACCTTCCAAGCGTGCCTCCTCTGCAGCTGAGTGTCCCAGCTGATTACCCTGAACAGAGTCCACTATGGATGAACAATCCCCGACAATACGGTATGTTAATCACTCCAGAAATGTTTGTTTTTAATTTGCTTTCCAATTGTGGTTTTTAATGTCTGTAAATTCTATAAAAACATACTTGATGTACATAGAGGATTTACTTGGAGAAGCTTGTATTGACCTTTTTCAACTATAGCAGCCGAGTCTGTTTATATTTTCACTTCTAGCTGCTGGCTAAGCCCAAAGGGGCCATTTGCCCAATTCTAGATACACTATATTGCCAAAAGTATTGGGACGCCTGCCTTTACCCGCACATTAACTCTACTGACATCCCAGTCTTAGTCCGTAGGGTTTAATATTGAGTTGGCCCACCCTTTGCTGCTATAACAGCTTCAACTCTTCTGGGAAGGCGTCCACAAGGTTTAGGAGTGTGTCTATGGGAATGTTTGACCATTCTTCCAGAAGCACATTTGCGAGGTCAGCTACTGATGATCGAGGAGAAGGCCGGGCTCACGGTCTCCGCTCTAATTCATCCCAAAGGTAATCTATCGGGTTGTGGTCAGGACTCTGTGCAGGCCAGTCAAGTTTCTCCACCCCAAACTCGCTCATCCATGTCTTTATGGACATTGCTTTGCGCACTTTTCCTGCTCCACAACGATTTGTGTGTACTCCCAGGGACATCCTTTGCTTGCCTTGAAGGTTGTTGGACCATAAGTCCTCAGGATGTGTACTTTGACATTTACCCTTTCTGCTCCTGGAGGGTTTTGGTGAGTATCCCTTGCTGGAAGGAAATAGTACCAAAAGAGAGCCTTGTTTTCTCCTGGAAAATGATAAATGTATTACTTTTGTACTGTAAGTAATGACCGTTCTTGCTGAATCTGTAAGGCCAAAGTTGAAATGAAAACATTTTCTGGTGCAAGAGCTGAAGTGGTTAAGCTGTGGCATATTAAATGTACATAATTCACAGGAACTGATCCATTCTTTTCTTTGTTCTCTTTCAGAAGCCAATCCTTTCTTACAGTCTGTGTACCGCTGCATGACGTCTAAACTTCTTCAGCTTCCTGACAAGCATTCTCTCACAGCATTGCTGACCACATGGGCACAAAGCATTCGACAAGCCTGTCTGTCTGCTGCATGAAGAAAACAAGCTGTTTTATATGCATAAATACATCTGGACCAGTCCATTAGGTCCATGGGGCCAGTAAATGGAAATGCCGAACAGGAGTTCAAAACTCCTGTTATATATCTGTTGTCTTGGGGATGATTTACTAAGGGCTAGACAAATTGTTCAAATCGAGTGGCGATTTTTAGCCAAAAACATTTGCAAGCTGTAATTATATTTGCAAGTCTGACATGGTACATTCAGACACATAACAGCACCATGATTACCATTTCTGATATATATTCATTGCAGGGAAGAAGCTACATTTTGGCAATTTCCACCAATGTCCCATCTCGGGTCACTAACTCCCCAGCTGACTTTTGTTCTGCAGCAGTGGCATCAAGTAGCCCCTTTTATTTTTATTATGGCTTCCCATGTCTTCCCTTCAAGGAAACCTGTAATGAGCAAAATACATGGACTGACCTCCTTCTAAGAACACTAATTCATTTTCCTGGATGTCTGGCTTCAGTACCGAGTCATTGACCTGGAACAAGGTTACAGATTAGAACGAGTGAACTGAAAACTATTGATCTGCTGTTCCAGATCAGTTACCTACTAGGCACTGAAGCGAGTGAAACAGTATGGCAGCCAGGTGATGTGTATTATTGAACAGCAAAACCATGTTGATCAACTATTGGAGCTTCCATATTCCCTAGCTACAGGTTTCCATTAAGAGCACATGCTGCCAGTCTGTCTACCAGCTGGTTTCTTTATGCCCAATTTTCATCTAATTCCCCTAGAATATAAGCCTGATATCACCAGTCATCTTGTCCCCTAACACCAAGCAAATTCAAAACTAGCTTCCTCTTCGGTTGGTGCATCAAACCTTCAGAGGCCTCTGATGTTTCCTAAGAGTCACTTGTAACCATCTAGCATGGAACAAGCACTTTTAATGGCCATGGAGACCTCATGACTGGGATATATCCATCCCTGCTCATAAGTATTCTTGTATCCACTGAGCATGTGGGTAATGAGAAGATCAACATTTCTAGGGCCTTGAGCGGAGAACATTTTTGGCTGCCCATAGAAACCAGTTTTGGTTCTAATACAGGACAGTAAAAGCAGTAATCTAAACGGTAGCTAACAGCAATGATATATGTTCTTCCTTTATATAGTTTATGCATGATGCCCTAATATAAGGCCATATAAACATATGCCATGGGCTGTTACATTTATCCCTTTAATGTTTTTGGGGGTTTTCTTTCCACCTAGCTTACTGTAAGTGATTCCAAATCAGCCAGATGTACATCTATCTTCTGCAATACTTACAGAAGACGGTTAACCATATTGCCCCCTTTTGTGCAGATATAATATGAATTTCCTAAGAGCTTTGCAATGAGATGCATGTCAGCTGATAATGTTTATATGAACTTCGTGCTTGATGTGATCAGGCATACTTTGTACACCTTTTTTCTTTTGTTTGTTGTATTAAATAAAACTTCTCCTTTGAGAGTCACACTTATATATTTTATTAACTAGTTCTAGCATACAGTTTGGGGCAAAAAAACAAGCACTATACATTATTATGATTCAGGCATGACAATTAGAGATTTTTGTACAAGTGGAATATGCACAGCAGCGTTTTACCAGATTGGTATAAAGAATTTCAAGGTATATTTCAAATATCTGCCCCCTACAGCTTCCTGCGTCACTTTCTAGTCCAGCCTGGGCAGCATTGACTAAAATGATTACATGCCACGGCTATGAAAGAAAAGGGCTGCACTTTGCAGCAGACAGCATGTGTAATATATGCTTTCCCCTCTCCACACTGAGCTACACCAATTGCGTTGCGTTCCTGAGCGGTAGCTGCTGGAACGCACTGTAATCGCACTCTAAATTCCCCCCTTCGTTCTGGGGTGGCAGGGGGCGTGGTGAAGCATTGAAGTCAATGGCACCGCAGACACACCCAGTGCGATTGGACACATGCCAAAACATTGCCTGTGTTCCAGTCCAGTGTGAATGCAAAAAGATGCTGACCACTGCAGGCCAGGCAATGTGGACTGCGGAGAAAGCTAGGTGTCTTCTACCTAAGAAGAGATCTGCTACCCTTAGCATTATGGGACTTCTGATGGCTGATGTATACCACCACCATGGTGTTGTCTGACTGCTCCCGAACAAGCCGACCCTGGAGAAGATCTGTCCAACATAGAAGATAGAGCCCCTGGCTCCAGAGGATTGATGGATAATCTGGACTCCAGCAACCAAGTCCCTTACACAGTCGAGGATCCAAGGACTTCTCCCCAGCCCACCAAGCTGGTATCTGTTGTCAGCATCATCCATCAAAAGGGAAGAAAGTACTTCCCAGATTCCACTGCCAGATCGGCGATCCACCATAACATCTTTGCCTCGGCTGACAGATGCATAAGACAGTCCAGCGATTGAGCTAGCTTGTCCCGCGCCCGACACCATAGGTTTGGCAGTTTCCCCAGAGGAAGGGACATCTTGCCCTGGATCATATCTTGGAGAAGACCCAGATATTCCAATCCGTGAGTTGGTTTTTATGAAGACTGCTGTAGATGTCTCTTTTCCCTCCAGCTGAGGACTATCAGACAACCCATCTGATAAGCCCACCTATCCCACTGCAGCCAAAGAGTTAACCACCCCTGAACTCCCAGTGCCCTAGTGAGTACATGGGTACTCAGACAGCACCAAGGGTTGTATGATGGTGTCCTCTATGGACACAGCCTACTCAAAGGTCACAATGGATTTTATATCCCACACTCACAGCAGCTCCACGTGGCCAGTCAGCACATGGTTCCCCAGCCCAGATGGCTGCCAGCACACTGCCCCACACTGCGCATACCCCAGCTCCAGAGGCCCAAGATGGCACCCCCAGTTACTACTGTACATCCCAGTCAGCAAAAGGTGCCCTACGATTGCCTATTAAACAGGCACTTGAGAAGGCCCCTCAAGCCCCATGAGATGGCCAAGCATTTTTACCGCAACTGACCAAAGGGCAAATAGCGATATATTTAAAGGGCCAGCTGCACCCAGCGAGCAGTAACCAGAAGTACCCTCAGAAAAGGGAGCCCACAAAACTCACCTCCAGCAGGTCAAAGATCAAACACAAAAGGGACTAAACCAAAAATGGGGCAAGTCTTTTAGATCTCCATTTTGATCTCTTTGGGTGAGCATATCCCCTGCCCCAGGAAGAGGTCTTCAGGGACTGTCCGAAGCTACATCACAAGCCGCCCCCACTTCATCCATCCAGGGGGATCTGGGTATGGTCCCCGAAGCTGCAGCCATGTACCGATCCAGACACTGCGAAGTAGCCACCGAGGCTGAACAAAGCCAGAAACACTTAAGAAATCCTTATCAGAGGGCAACTGAACTACCACATGTCTCCTTCAGTAGAGAGGAGACATCCATCACCTAAGGACATCAGCAAAACACTGAGGATTTCCTGGAGAGGGAGGGGTTATATGAGGAGCCTCATAGTTGTAGCCAGTGTCCAGTTACCTGGTGATACCTGCATATTACTCACTCTTCTCTGCACTGCCTGTGTCCTACTGTATGATCAGCAAATACTTTTTAGTGGTTGTATTTTTCTAGTCAGTCATTGTTGTGTCTTTTTTAATAAAGGATTTATTTAGTACTCCTGGTGATGTTTAGGGTTTGGTATTTTTGTTTTATACTCCAAAGAGATTGGTGCTTCTGCCCCTTATCCCATACACTCTGAGGTTCCTCAGAAACTGATCGACTTCCTTTGCTAGAAATGGCAGGGATTCAGAGTGCCAATATGACTTTTTGGCACTCAATCCCTGCCATTTATGGCTTTCCCTTGAGAATACTATGGGTAACAGATAACTAAATAATACAGAGAAATAGGTATTTTTTTTCACGTAGTGGGTAGCACGGTAGCAGAGAGAGAAAGTCAGTTTTAAATTCAGGTCCACAAGGAGGGTAGCTTTTTGCTTCTCCTAGACTGTTCAGTGGGCTGATGTAGTAAATAAAAAACACATTCTCTGTTAAGATAACATATATTCAAGAACAAGTCAACAAAACACTGTACAGAATACATTTTAATTCAGAACACACTCGAGAAGACTAAATTATTCCATAATAAAATATATACAGTATCCACAGCCTATAAAAAAAAAAGTCATGATCAGTCCTGGTGTGGTTTCCACTTGTCAATAAACACTGTCATTACTGCAGCACAGAGAAGGTAGCCAATAAAAAGAAAGAATGTTGATGCTACTGGTCCCACAGATATCAGGCCACATAAAACATAAAAGAGGAACAAATAGAACAGGAGGCGATAGCTGGCAAGGAATCGAAGACGGATACGGGGGTCTGTCTTCTGCACAGCACCAAGTGATGACACAGGGCTCATTCTCCACGCAGGAGTGTTGCTGATTAAATGGTAAGAACAAAATTTTCCCAGGAAGTCATCTCTTTTACACACAACATCCATGGAGTCTGCAAACTGGAAGGAATACAATGGTTAAAAAATATGCCAGTGATTTACAATTAGAAAAACAGAAAAGCACTATTCTGCAAGTAACAGTGCAAGCCAGAGTTCAGTATCACCATATCCCATAAACCCTTGGTTCTCAACTGGTCGGTCGTGACCCAAAAGTGGGTCATGACCTCGTCTTCAGTGGGTCGCTGTGGGCCTTCCACTTTTCCAGGTAAGAGGCTCCTCAGCCTCTTCCTAGCGCAACAGTGTCAGTTCTCGCACTAAGCAGCATTTAAAATATGCTGCCCGCCACAGAGTGTCAGATTGAGGTGGGTTGGGATGGGGCTATGCCCACGAGGGAGCTCCACCCATACATCTATTGCTTACAGCTGCCTTGGACCGGAGTGACGTCACATTCTGGCTCCCAGGATAACATAGACACCAGCACTCCAAGCAATGAATCAATGGTGTCTTTTTTTGACACAATTATATAGGACAATGTATGAAAAAGGCTTTTTGATACATTGTGCAATGTTTCATGCATCAATAAACAGACGCCATTGAATCATTACTTGGGAGTGCTGGTGTCTATGTTATCCTGTGATTATAGACGGTTGCCATACGTCGAATGCCACAGCAC